CAATAATTCGTCGTAATTGACGTCACGTTTTATTACGACAATATAGTTTTTCGTAAAAAACAACAACAGCTTAAAAAGAATCGTAACGTTTTCCCGATAAAAACCGAAATATAAAAGCAGACGTGTCTCGTGAGAGAGAAAGTGTCAGTTTGTTTTTAGTTTCCTGGAATGGGTCGTAAATTTTCTCGACTGACCGACACCTTATGTTTGCGGTGGTGATGAGAGAAAGACGAGCGCTCTTTACGTCTTAGGGGAAGAATGTAAGAGACATTTTTTTCTCTTACATTCCGATAAGTATTGCAATAAAAAAAAAAAACGAAATTAAAAACGAAACAAATTCGCCGGAAAGCGAGACAGAACTTCGTTGGGAATGCTGCTTTTTGAGAGGTATTGTAAGACTTGATTGGAGACACCTGTATCTCACGCGCAATTTAGTTACCAACTTTCGATTCGAGAAGTGGATAGAAATGTCGTGATGAATCAGCAGAGGGAATAATAACGCATCGTGAAACCCCATCGAGCTGATATTAAGCGCGAACGCCGCGGGGAAAAGAGCTGAATCACCGTCGAATCGATCATTACAGCGAGGCTACCGGCGGGTATGTTTGTGTATGCACATGAACAAAAAAAAAAAAAGACAAAGACAAAGCGAACGGGGCGGGGAACTGTGAAGGGGGTTGAGAGGGAAAGGCTGGTCTACCTTAATAATAAACGGCGCAACATCCGCGAAATGGCGATTTTTCGTGCTCGCTTGTAGTTTACCCGTCTGAAATTACGTTTACCCTCGTTATATTCTGCCGTGCAAGCCGGACGATATCCAACTATAGGGATGGGAATCGGATAGAGGGTGCGCGAGCGTAAGAAAAAAATCGATGCAATCGTGTCTAACACACCGGATACGCGAGATTGTAAAATGTCGCGTTGTTTTCTGTCTTGAAGAAAATATACTCTGTGTGTGTGTGTATTTAAATATTAAATGTATTTTAGCGTTTTTTTTCAGTCAGGTAAAAAATTGCATAAATATATCAGCGTTAACGCGATTAATACGGAGAACAAAACTTCGCAATTGTTATTTAAAAATCTGTTAGTTTTTGTTGCAAGCGCGAAATAAATTTAGAATTTCGTTTCGAAATTATTCCCACGATATTGAAATATATTTTGTACATTATTAACAATCAATATTAAATTGAGGATCTCCTCAGGCTCATGAAGTTTATTAAACTTAATAAATGAATAAATAATTAGTTATATTTATATTTTGTACATATATATGTATACAAAATGATGTTACTTATTTCGAATTAAAATCCAGTTGCGAGATGAAATTGGACACAAGATTTAAAGTTCGATAATGAACTTTCGTTTTAATGATGAAACGATTATCTTTCTGTCTGTCGATTGCTCGATTGTTTCTGTCGAATTTATCCGCAAAATCGGCAACTTGTCCGATTTGCGCGTTTAAAGACACGGATGTTCATTTCGTACGCGTATGTGTGCATATACATTGTACAACATATTATTACTGCATGCTCAGAATTCGTGAAACGGATATTATCAGTTAGCATTGAGACCAATAGCTCGCCGACGCATCCTGCTAAACAAATAAAAGCGCCAGTGCGTTATAATTGGCTACACTGTAATTTCGGGTTGTCGATGAAACACCGCTTGACGCTGCCGCATTTACATCGGTAACTGTTATGCGAATCGTATGAATAATTGCAACGACATAATACAGCAGCGCGCGTTGCATAATTAATAAACCGCGGTTACAACCCAACTACATTTATTGCCGTGGCTTTAATCACGTTGTTAATATTGCAACCCTCTCGCTGTTAATCTTTTTCTTGCTCGAGCTGACACTCCGCGCGCGACACTCGTCGAATGTAATTGCAAATTGACACATTTCATCGTGGTTTCTAGTTTAACGTTTATCACAAAGCAAAGTAAAAACACGTTAACTATATATTTCGATAGCCATATTATCGACGTGTTATTATGAATCGCCCAATAACCAGAATCATCACGTTACCCCATTTGTAACAAACTAATTTTCCGAACAGAAGCAATTACATCGAGAACTTTGCGGCTGTCGATACTTCGCTAGGGGAACTACGACAACGTATTGACAGCATCCGATTCTCGCGCAACGATAAGAATTTCGTCGTTCCGTTTGTCCGCGCGATCGATTAATTCTCTGATAAATTTCCCGGTGAAATAACTCGCGCGTCTGTCGCCGGAAGGGATTTTCGGAATTATATCGTATATGTGTGCGTGCGCGCGTGTGTATGTGTGTGTGTGTGTGCGCGCGCGCGCAACAATGGCACCCGCGTGACATTTTATCGAATTTCAAGTTAGCACTTGGCACATGTAAAGCCACACAAAAACTCATAATCTCAAAGTAACAAGCGAATAATGTTCCCAAAGACGCGTTAGATATTACATTGAAATATAACATTGTGAAGAGATGTAGTTTCCTCCGAAAATGTTCTGAGAGCGTGCAACAATGTGTTTAAAGAGTCTGAAAAACGTGAGATCTCTAAGAATTTATTAATCAAACTTGTTTGGGGCTGTTTTTTTTTTCCGAATAAAAATCTCTTGTAATAGAATATTTTTTATACACAGACTATTATACGCAATTTAATATATAAATTGTAAATTGATTTATTGCATACAAAGGGGAACAAACAAAATATTTAAAGAAACAATATTTTAATGTAAATATTAAAACCATTAAATCAATTTTTTCAAATAAATATTTTTCAAATACTTTAAAGACATTTTGAAGACTGTTTAATGTCAACTCGTTGACGAGGTGTACAGCGTTTCGAATAATATTTTGCCTTTGAGAACATCAAAGACATGCACCAGTGACCTACTTTCGAGTTCAGAGCGTAATTGCGTTGCCTTCATTAATGTCAAATTGAGTTAAATCTCCGCATTTACGTTGAAGGAAAATAAAGTTTTACGAGGCAATGACTCGGATTTTCCGGCGTTTATTCTCAGAATGAAAGTTAAGATAAGTCAATTTACACGGTAGACCGGACACACTTGCAAATGAAATATCGTGTTACGCTGATCTCGCGTAAAGTTGATACTTACATCTGGTCGGGCCTCGTCGTCGGGAATATCATACACGACGACAACGATCTCACACGCCAGATGTGATTTAAATCCAATTAGCGCTCAATCGTCACTTTTCGGAACAACTGTATGGAATCGAAGGTTTCACAGCCGAGTGTTTTCGGTTAGCGGAATTTAGATCGAAAGAAAATATTCGCGATGTCAACTGTAGATCCGTCCGCGTCTCTGAAACTCTCTCAGTTTCTCATTGTGCTATGCAATGAAAATTTCCGGGCGTTCTTCTCTTTGAAAATCCGCCAACGCGGGAAAGTCTTCAACGAAGAGAAGTCATGTCGAGCGTGCTCGGTAGTCCAGCGAGGTGGAAAGTTTATTACGACAATATACTGCGATACTAAATATTTTCAAGTCCCGTAGTTACGAGAGGAAACGCGGCGACGGCGACGGCGACGGCGAATTGCCGAGATTCCCTCGGAAGAGAAATAATTCCGCAACCTAACGCGATCGTCGACGAGTCTCTCCGCTTTTGTCCTTTAAAACGTAGCGATTTCGCGTCTGCGAGAAAAATTTACTTTGTCGAGCGAGTGAAATTCGCCATGATTATTCTACCAGTTAACGCGAGCGAGCTTCAAGCGCGCCCGTGGGAACGAGATTTAACAAACGTAAAACTAAATTAACGCGCAATTTTAGTGCTTAAAAGGATCTTAATTTTTTCATCAATTTAGCGCACACGCAAGCGATTGACGTTCACACCACTGTGTTTCAACAAAACAAACAACAATTGTGTTTACAAAAAGAAAATTAGATATTGCTTTTGGCTGTCATTTCAAAAAAACTTAAATAGTTTTTGTTTTTGTATCAAACATTTTTACGATTAACAGCAATATTGATCTGCTTGGTTTTCTTTTTTTTTTTTTTTGTTTTTTTTTTAACAATTTATTTTTGCCAATATATATCCTATTCATTTCTACATTTCCCGTCCTGTAAAAACGACGATATGCAGTTGCGTCTCTGCTGTGCAATAGCTTGCGCGAAACGCCGCCGCGTTTTCTCTCTTGATAAGATTTCTAGTTGTAAACGATGTAAATGCGAGCTTCACGACAATTTGTCTATATTCAAGATGAAGGAACATTCTCTGCATGCGGTTAATCTTTGTACATACACCGTCGGTAGATTGTAATTTGCCGCTGACACACTCTACGCACTCTCTCTCCCTCTCATATAGACACAAACACGCACACACAAACGTACACTTTTGTTTGTCAGTATCCAGGATTCCCTCGTCTGTCTTATTTCGAGCGCCTAATTTGTGCTTATGTCTGAAACTGTTGCAAGCGTGTCATTACTACCTCATTGTCCTACTGTCACATGTACCGACACGTACACGAAACAATTGTGATATAACAGACGCGCGCAACACACGAAGCCACGCGACCGAGTCAGAGCTTTTGTCCCGAAATCGTAGCGAGACTAACAAATCGCTTTTACTCGACGAATAAAAAATTCGAAGGAAACCGCTCGCGAGATGTTCGAACGTCATGATTTAACGAAGTTTGGCGCACAAGCTTCGTTCGTCAAATGTACAAAGGAGAACGTAACATTTTCGCCGTTCTGCGAATTAGTTAGAAAATTAGTTAAAACTGTTCAGTTTCTCTGTGAACCAGAATTTTGTATTTTTCTCGCTTAACGATATCAAAACCGAGATGCGAAATTATGATTTCGAGATCACACAAGAGAATGTTGGAAGAGATAAGTAGACTCTATGTATGTATTTGTGTCCTTTGTGTCTAAATGCGTTCATGTGCACGCAAGATGATTTTATCTGATTCTCCGGCGATTCCGCAAAGCGTTCAAAAAAAAAAAAAAAAAAAAATTAAAGTCGTTCGGTTGAGTTGAAATTGTGGCATACGTAACGATTGCAGGTGCAATCGTCGAAATTCCTGTAGGGTGGCGACGACGAACGACGTTTTCGGGGGGGACCCTTGTCCCGGAACGCCGAAATACATCGAGGCCCAGTACGAGTGCATAGGTTGGTTCAATCATCTTTTTATCTTTATTTTTTTTTTTTCGATGTTCGTGAAAAAATCTCACGGGATTCGTTTTTCTCCCGTTCGCACGATGCTGCGGAAAAAGCCTCTCAAATTTTCCGCGAGTCACACCCGATCTTTTAGCTTACCTGTTGAGCGTTTCGAAATGAAGAAAACAAAGAGTTGTGTGGATCCATGGCGGTACACGTGGTAAGAGTGTGCCATAAATCATTTTGTTAAACGCGAGTCGAATCCCCCGTCCAGGTGCAACGATAAGCAGAACTGCAGCATCGTTGCGTCCACGCAGCACTTCGGTGATCCTTGCCCGAGCACAGGCAAATATCTCGAAGCGCACTTTCGCTGCCTGTCCAGTAAGTAAAAAAATCCGTTTTATTTTACAGTTTTGTGTTTTCTTGATCTTTATAGTAAGTCAAAAATCTTGTAAATTGCGACACTATTTTTCTTAACAACGATTCCAAGATAACGTGTGAAAATTTGATTTCTTAAACGATAGAGCGACGTTCAAAACTTAATTTTGAAAACACGTCTATGATATCAAGTGTTCGAATTTACAAGATTTAATGTTACGCTTCCATACGCAGATTTTTTTTACATCAAATAAAATTAATATTATTTTAAGTTGTGTGTGTTTTTCCTGCGAACATCATCTGAATGTACTTGACATTTTCCAATACCGCGTCGACTCTCTCGAAATCCTTTTCCCGTCTATTTGCCTTTTGTGCCGCGCAATCGATCTCGCCGAGATAGATCGAGTTCCAACTTCACGCTTCAATATATTCGCGAAGAAGTGGGATCTCTTACTAGCTTCCGACCGCGAGAGAAACGTAAAATCGACCTCTTCTCTCTTTCTGATTTGCGCGTATATATGTATATATATATAAAATATATTATACTATCGTCTTACCTTCAGGTTCACGATTATCGCGTCCAACATCGGCGACGTCCGGTATTTCACCTTATCGCCAACCTTCTTCGGCCAATAAAGATGACCTCTATAGAGATAACGCCGCGAAATACGCGGAGCATCCCATTCTGGGATTAACTGTCGTCGCCATCTTGGGTTAAAGATCGTTTCCTTCGCCAAAGGTCGCGATATTGAGCCGTATATAGTCTAATCTCGCGTTTTCTTTCTCATCTCTCTTTCTATCTCTCTTTCTATCTATATTTGCCTATATCTTCCGATCAAGAAAGAAACTTCTTAAATTTGCAAAATTTTCAGATAGTTTGCAGAGTTTTAAATTTTTCCATTTGCTTGCTAATTAATAAAATTCGAGAAGAATTGTGAGCAGATTTTTTATGTTGATTCCGATGTGATAAAATAACTGTTTTCTCTCTCTCAGTGTTATTTTGTAAAGTTATTGTACTTGTAAGTCAAAATTACATTTTAAATAAGTAAAACGTACATTTTTAATGAGTAAAAATTACATGTTTTTGTATTATTTTCATTATTTTCGTGTTTTCACAAATTCAATTTGAGTCGGCAAAATCGTGATTTGATCGTTTTCGAGAGAGATAAAGAGAGAGAGAGAGAGAGAGAGAGGGAGCGCACATCAGATATTCTAATAAAAGTCCAATGTTATTATATTCGCCGTTTCTCAAAAGGAGATTTGCTCAAACTTTATCGAATGATTACGATTAACAAGAATCCGGTATAAATCCGATACAGAAGCGGATAAGCTCTTCTCGATGTAGCGAGCCAAGAAAAACAGAGAGGAGAGTGCCTCGATATCTACGAGCCGCGGGAGATCTCATTCCCTTCGGTCCATCAGGAATATATATATACATATATATATATATATATATATTCGCAAAGCACCGACAGTTCATTCAAACTCGATCGAATGATTAACAAGAGTTCGATATAAATTCGACGCGGAGGATTAAGCTCTTCCCTAAGCGTATCAATCCGATAGATTGAAAGAGGACGCGCGGGGGACAAACTTCTTATATTCCGAAGAACCTCTCGAACGCTTTAAATATCCCTCTGAGAAATCATTTTCTTTCTTAATTATATTCACGTCTTCGGGCCCGATAAGAGAGGAAGAGGATAGCTCGAGTTTTCCCACGATCCTCTTTTCCTCTTCTCACAAGAGAGAGAGACTCCTTCTTCCCGCCGATTTTCCTGTCCTCATTAAAACCGTCTTGACGAAACGTTTGCAGCGACCACCACGACGACGCCGCGGCCAAGTCCGCCGTGGCTCCTCACAACGCAACCGTTCTGGAGTACGGCGAAGACGACGACCGTCAGGATACCCGATTTACCACCGGGCTATCAACTGCCGAACATTCCGCCTCAGCAGCCGGATTTTCGTCAACCACCGTATGTCCCGATAACACCGGCCAGGTCAGTGTCGTCATTACGGAACCAATAAAAGTTAACATTAACAGCATCTTGAAGATTTTCTCCGAGATTTTTTCCTTTGAGCGTGTGTCGGCAAAATTTTTATCACCAAATTATATCGATGTTATTCAACACTATTGGTCACGTGCGACGATAAATATGCGCCACGTCTACGATCATAACAAAAGAAATTAGCAGTAGAGAAGGGAAAAAAAAAGCAGTCATTTTGCGCGGTTATTGATGTTTTTTTCTTTGTTCTCGTAGCGAGTAAAATATCGTCCTTCATTGTCGTCGATATTGTCGTGATCTCTGACGACCGTCATAAAGTTGGACGTATCGGAAAGCCTCATTGGGAATAATAAGCCTCCTCTATTTGCAGTCACACGTCGACAAAGGCGACCGTTGAGAAGACCGAGGAGGAGGACCGAGGAGAGAGCTTAGTACCTCCTGAGAACGGTTCTCCGGCGAAAATCCCGCCGATGTTGACCGTACCCGAGACCACTGTAGCTACGACAACAACCACATTCACTCCCTGGAGAAGGACCACCGGTAAGAACATAGGACGGGTAATAAAGGACATGCCATTTCGAGCATTATCGGTATCTTAGAGAGCTGCAGCAATATCAATATCTCTCGCAGCCGATAGTAGCATTTTCGAAGGGAATAACGTGCTCGAATATACGAACAGATCGTTTTACCTCTCCAGATCAGTTGGGACAATAATTGTTTTTTAGTCTCGTAAAGCTTTTATCAACAACACGAAATGTGTTTGAATGTAGATGATGTCTCGAAAGTGGAGAACACGTACGAGAACGATTAAATATAACGTTCTATGTAAATCATGTCCTTGTAAAATTTGTGATTCATGAATCCGTTGTTACGTACACAACCGAGATTTTGACACGCTTGTCGAACAAGACAATATCTGAGATTTTCTTGAGTGCTTACTTGTCGATACCTAATTAGTATGTTCGACAAGTTTGCGCGGGTTATCTAAAACAACATCTTTACACGTGGGTGACATGCTGTATCCCATTTTCCGGTTACGGGTTATGGCTCTACAGATGTATGGATTGGCTTTAAGGATAAGCCGGTCGTATCAGACAGCGCGCCGTAAGCATGATAGATGACCGAGGTATATTATAGCTGTGGCCATAACGGTGTTTAGAAACTTGCCATTGTCACTACGTCATTATCTTCGGTGTTTTCTTACGTAATTTATTTCTGGCTCTCTTGTTCTTTGCTCGTCGCGACAAATAAATTACGTTTTCGATAATGCGAGCCATTTGGAAAACTGTCGCGAGTAAATAGTATTCTGGGTCAATGGCTGCGAGACATTAGAACCCTCCGGGGAGAGTCGAAATTCCACTTCCGAGCGCCGTTGCGCGCCGAGCGTCCTCGAGAGGACGCCGCGACGACGATATCGCATTAACGCCGAGGCCGTTAGCCGAGGCGGCCATTTAAGACAAGATGAACCGGGACTGACCGAAGCGTGTAAATCGCATTGTTGCAGCGGTGCCCAGCACGCTGGAGCACTACGACTACGGCAAGCAAGCATGTCCCGCGGTAACGGCTAGGAATCTGTCCTGGAATCGGACCAAGGCCGGCGATGTGGCTGTGCAGAGTTGTCCAGGTGGTGCCAACGGTCTGGCGAGATGGCGGTGCGTGGCGCAGGGAGAATCCGCCGTCTGGCAACGCGATTCTCCGGATCTGAGCGAGTGCAGGTCCGTCTGGCTGACTTCGCTGGAAAACCGCGTCTCGGACGGCGACACGATTCTCGGCGTCAATCGGGAATTGTCGCAAGTGACGAACAACACGCGCGGTCTGTACGGCGGCGACATGATGATCACGACGAAGATCATCAAGAACATGGCCGAGAAGATGGCGGTGGACATCAGGACCTTCCAGGATCCGCATCAGAGAGAGGCGAACGTCCAGGAGCTGCTTCAGGGTGTGTTGAGGACTGGAAGCAATCTGCTCGACAAGGCGCAAATGGCGTCGTGGAAGGATCTCAGTCATCAGGAGCAGATGCGAGTCGCCACGTCGCTGCTAACCGGTCTCGAGGAGAACGCTTTCTTATTGGCCGAGACACTCACGGAGGAGAAAACCATCATAAAGCAGAGTAAAAATATACGTAAGTACCGCTAATGATGATTGGTAATTGCCGTGGCGATTTACCAAGCGGTAAAACCTCAATATCATCTTCACTGTTGTTCTTTACTTATTGCGTTAGTTTATTTCAGTAATTTTCAAAACATCGTTCTTCTCATCTCTCGTCAAGTGTTTTTAATTTACGTTTGATGCAAATTGGATAAATAACTATTCGAAGTTTTTAAATCCCATTTTCGCACATATATATGTATATATATATATATATATATTTTAATTCAAAACACGGATATTATTATTCAGGAAAAGAAGCTATAAATCTACTTGATTGTCGGGAGATTAGTTCCCTCCCATCCAATGATTAATGCGAAGACTTGTTTACCGATAAATCATGCACAATCGGCTCAGTCTAGCATTAATAAAGTTTCGATTTACCGAGCAACCTGGAATCCGCGTAGCAGTTATCTTTAGAGTAGATTCGTCGTCGTCCCAGCGGAGTAGCCATTTTCGTTCGTAAAGTCACGCAAGGTACACGCACGCCTTCGGCGTCGGTCGCGGCCGAATGATTTATGTCGCTCGCGCACCCAACACCCGGTAATCTCCGGTATAGATAAAATACAGATCCGAATCCATCGTAATTCTCCAGTACCCGCCCGGATTACAACGTAATCCGCCGGATATGGCGCGGGCGCGCGCTATTATTATTACAGAGAAACGACGGCAGAATTACGAGCGGCTTGATTTACTTCCCGGAAGTGCGTCACAACTTGATTGAGCCGCGGCGTACGTGCATCATAGCGTCATCAGATGCACGCTTGATAAACTGCATAACGGCGGTGAGGGAGCAAAAAGCCGCCGGGGGAGGAAGGGGGAGGGTATACTTGATGAGCGACAGCCGGTCGGATGCTGTGCGCAACGTCCCCTCTTCTAGAAAAAAAAATAAAAATAAAAAAAGAGAAAAATCAAAACCGCATTAAGTCTCTCTTCCTGGCAATACCGTTGATTGATACCGCGATCGGGTCTTAATCGTTTATTACACGAGAGAAACGCCAGAACGTTCATTAGAAGACGTCGCGCGCACTAAGTTGCGGTTAGACTAAATTCTTGAACGCACAGCTGGCGCGTCCAAGTTTCTGGGGACTCGACTGTAATTTTTAATAGAGAGTCCTTTTTCCACACTGTTCTTTTTTAATTTTGTCTAATATATGTGAATATAAAACTTGGCGTGAAAAACGGTGGTTTTCAACTTGTGCCGCGACACGCGCGATATACACGTATTTAATTAATTATATCATCAACTATAATAAAATAGCTCCTTTTATTTCTTCTGCTTGACATATTAAAAACAAAAAAGACATTTATTTGAAAATTAATTCGATGTGTTCACATCTCTCTTCGCTCGAGAAAATTAACTTTCGGTGTCACGAGATAAATGTTCGCCGCGCGAAGTTTGAAAGCCACTGTACCGTCGTAATTTAATTCGCGTCTTCCGCGAATTCGCGGCTAGAAATTCTCGTGGAGCGCGTTAACCGCGCCGAGGGAGAAGTAACCTACTCGCCTAATTAGCTGCGTACGTGTCTCCACCGCAGTGGTAGAAGTTCGCGTGCTGGACGCTCGCAACATGGGCAATGAGCAGCAAGTTTTCCCGAGCGAGGAGACGGAGCAGATGTGGACCGTCTCGAGCGATCGCGTGGAACTTACCAAGGCCGCGCTGCTGGACAACAGCGACAATGGCGTCGTCCGGCTGGTCTTCATGGCCTTTGACAAACTCGAAGAGATACTGCAGCCGCAGGAGGAGTCGCTGTCCGGTTTCACGAGCGACGATACCCAGCCGCGGAAGAACCGTCTTCTCAACACCAAAGTCATCTCGGCGTCGTTGGGAAAAGGCCGGCACATACAGCTCTCAGAACCCGTCCGGATGTGTTTCAAACATCTGACGGTCGACAATGTCACCAATCCCACTTGCGCCTTCTGGGATTACACCTTGAGGTAATTTCGCTTTAGTCCGATCCTATTTCCACTTTACGCGAAAGTCAAGAAATCGCCGGCGACTTTTCTCTTATTTATTTCACTTTTAATTTTCTTCCCCGCGTTTCCGGTTGTACACAACACACTCACAATACGTCGCTGAAGTAAAAAAGAAAAAAAAACAACCTTAAATTTTGTGTATTGCTATTTACTCTCTTTTAAATTTTTGTCTGTTTAAAAATGATCCAATAAAAAAACGATATTCAATTTTTGATATCAGATAAATTCTTCGTAAGAGATCGCAACTTCAGAAATGTCCAACTCGGAAAATTTATATTTGAGATTGTCGTAGCTTTTTTCGACACACACGCGACGAATTACGAATACGTCTCTCCTTCACGCAATATCTTATTTTCTGTAGCTCCTGGGCAGACGAAGGATGTAAGGTAATAAAGACTAACAAGACCCATACCGAGTGCGAGTGCAATCACCTGACGAATTTCGCCGTGCTGATGGACGTGCACGCAGTACCTCTGGACGGTCCTCACAAGATCGTTCTGCAGGTCACCACGTACACAGGATGCATCATATCTATCGTCTGCTTCGTCCTGACCATTCTCACGTTTCACTTTTTTCGCGTACTAAAGGTAAGATAACAACTCCCCCGTGTGCTTTCTTCCTCCCGATCGATATTCGACTTTTCGTCACTCTTTTTCTGATTCGTTGCAGTCGGACAGAACGATAATCCACAAGAATCTCTGCACGTGTTTGCTGATAGCCGAGATACTTTTCGTCTGCGGCATCAATCAGACTGATCAGAGGGTCGTTTGCGGTGTTGTGGCTGGTTCGATGCATTACTTCTTCTTGTGCGCGTTTTTCTGGATGTTCCTCGAAGGTCAGTTTGTTTGTAATTTTTCTTTGCAATCGTGTTTCTCAGTTTGTACGTAGCCTTGCGTTTCCTTTTAAATTACACCTCATTTGATTTTACAGGATTTCAAATATACGTGATGGTGATCGAGGTGTTCGAATCGGAGAAGTCGCGGATTCGCTGGTATTATCTGTTCGCGTATTGTATACCGGCGCTAATCGTCATGATTGCTTGCGCGGTCGACCCGCTCAGCTACGGTATGGACCGTTACTGCTGGCTGCGCGCGGATAATTATTTCATCTTTAGCTTCGTTGGACCTGTGATACTCGTTCTGGTGGTAAATAACCGATACATTATCAATCGGCGTGAAATTGATCGGTTCGGAAAAACAGTTGCGAAGCTTGCGGCGTGAAAATTGTTGTTCGCTCTGCGCATCATCGGTGCGATGTTTTACCGAGACTTTCAATAGCGGCACTTGTACTATTGTAAAAAGGTGTTGTAATAAACATGTTTCGTTTTATCTTCCTCACAGGCAAATCTGATCTTTCTGTCGATGGCGATCTTCATGATGTGCCGACATTCGAAGACAGTGGCCATGAAGAATCAGGAACATTCCCAATTGGCTAGAGCAAAGTAAGCACAATAATTCTCAATAGCCCGTTTTTATATGGTACCACCGTAAATTGCAAATTGTACATACATATACACATCGTATATATCAGTCAAATCCGTTCGTTGTCTCTCTCTCTCTCTTTCTCTCTCTCTCTTTCTCTCTCTCTCTTTCTCTCTCTCTCTCTCTCTCTCTTTCTCTCTCTCTTTCTCTTTCTCTTTCTCTCTCTGTCACACGAGAGATTTCATCCTATCGTCGAAGCGTAGCAGTCGAGATTGTTTGTTTGATGCTTTCGGTTTACACGTTCACAAGCTTTTACTCGCTTTTAAAGAGATCTCTCGAACGCGGATCTTGTTTGTCACGCATCTTTTGACAGCCATGCTGACATTTTTGGTTTTGTTTTTTTTTCTTTCTTTCTTTTTTGAGCCCTCTGTTTGGAATGACCGCAGATTTCGTTCGTTCGTTCGTTCGTTCGTTCGACACACCATTTGTATTGCTGTGATATACAGGACATGTATGCGTTCAATTTGCGCAGATTATCGTGCACGTACGCAGGAGCGCGTCGTTCCGAATTTACTAAAGAATACCATTCGAGTCAATACGATTCTTTACAATCCCTCATGGCACAGAACAATTCGCACTCTCGTGTGAATTTCAACGTGTTTTGTTTAAATTCTTGATTTTTAAATTGCGCGTCTCATATAACATTATAAAGAAGTATCAAAAATTTTGCTGAGAAAAATTCAAATCATTTGTGTTTTTATAATATTCAATAAACAATGTACACTTTGAATAATTTGTATAGTTTGTACAGTTAATTTGTATAGTTTGTAGATATATTACCGTGTTTTTAGATTTTTTATTTTGTATATATTGTATATAAATTGTGTTATATAACAATACGTATTATATACAATTTAATTAAACGTTAATTTTTCATGATTTGTTTATTATCTGGATCACACACGTACACACACAAATATTGATGAGAAATATATTATTTTATATCTTTTTGTAGGACGCCTTGTATATCGTCACGTTTAATTTACGCGTTTTATTTAGCTTGTGTCACTGGAATATAACAAATAAAACATTTATGTTAGTGTAAAAAATAGAGCAATGAAATATTTTAAACGAATCTATATTATATATATATATATACATATACATATATATATATATATATATATATATATATATATATACATGTTTGAAATCGTAATTAATTGATATAAACAACTCTCAAACTGTATTTCACTTGCGATTTGTCGAATAAAACCGCCATGCTTCGCGTGCTCGTTGGAAATGTGTATGCAATTGAATCGAGCGTTGCGATCGGGAAATAATCTATAATCAATTAATCAATTGATGGTGCCGGAACAATCACCTAACTCTGCTGTCTTGTTTCATTTTTTTATTAAAAACCTTCTACCCACTTCTGTCTACACTGTTCTACATTCTTCTGCATGGCGTGGTTGGTTGCTAGTGGAAAGGAAGAGAATGTTCTTCCCAACAAATTACAAGCGCACTTGTAAGATATTTACTATTTTTATTATTACTCACACACCGCTAACATTGTTGCCATTAATTGCCATCTCGATGTCATTCCGTCTGTAATATTTTTTTTTCTTTAATTTATTTTACTTTGATTAAGCCAAGTAATTTATATTATTTTACGCTGAGTTTTTTTTTTGTTGAACGTAGACTCTAGTGTCTCGCATTACTTCATCGAAACACTCATCATCCTATCACGTAATGTCGTAACACTCATTGGAAATGCGATTCTCGAAGGCGCCGTGTCGGTGTGTGTGTGTGTGTGCGCGCGCGTCATATTTCCGTGTATAAAGTAATTAATACGGTTGTGCGAAGGAATAAGTTTACGAGGGCGATGCATTATGTTTAACGGTAGCACTTGGTTGGCTTATATAGGCTTTAAAGTTAATGAACGCAGCGGGATGACCTGATTTCGCAAATAGGAAGCTTTGAGGCTCGAGTTTTAATTTCGATATGTATTACTAGAGCTTGATAATATATTGCATCAAAAAAAAAGCGGAAAATGTTTTTTTTTTTTTTTACGCGAGATAATTAAGCTTCCATAAATATGATTTTGCATATGCAAGCTTATTCCTTCCGATCACACACAACGACGTTACCTCCACCTGATAATCTCTTTAATTTATTTTGAATTTATTTTCCAATCCGATTTTCTTATCGCTTCTTTATGTCATAGAGAAAAAATTTCTTCTCGAATCTGTAATTAATTTGCGATCGCGCAATTTCTCGTTTAACATGTAATTTTTCACAATTTCCGTTTTGTAAAATAAAAAATCAACTTTTTTTTTTCTAAGATGACAATCTCTTTCACGATCAAGTCACGATATACATATGCGTGTTGCATGTAATAACTACATAATAACATGTGTATCACATTTGTCAATTTGGCGCTTGCATTTCCTCTGAGTAGACACGATTCGCTGTGCCCAAGTAGTGTACGTACCTTCTTGTTTAGTTTCGGGCATTACTCCTGATTTACAAGTAGATAGAATACGCGAAAGTACACCATAGAGATACATTTTGTCTTACCCTGTGTAACGCCAAGTTCTAATCACAACAGTTTAAGATAAGATGCCGCGATTTTAAGGCGACGCTCAAAGCGGCGTTCGCGTTGCTCGCGAAAATAAAAGCCCGATCTACCGCATAATATCGCAATAATTAAACGTCGCCCGGGACGGAGCGTCGCGTGTCCCGCCACGCTACGTCGCGTTATTTTTTCCTTCGACATCGCGACGCTAATTCCAAGTGTTAAAATTGCGCTCTGAACCGAGAAGGGAGAGTCTTGAGATCGATTGTAATCATTTTTACGTCATGTTTTTGCGAGCAATTTACAAGAGAATAAAAATTAAGATGTTCGAGCAAGACGAGATTTCTGTTTGAAATGAAATACTTTTTCACAATTGCAGCAAACATTTTCTTCGTCACTTTTTCTTAAGATGGAAGAAATATGTTTGGATTGTTTTTTTTTTTTGTCGAAGAATTCTTATTTACGTATTTCAGTTTCTTGTTAAATCTTTAAAGCAGCTGAAAAACTCAAATGGACAAACAATCGATTCCAAGTTTTCTTCAAGATGCTTCTTTCACGAGGATTTCTCAAGCAAAACTTGGTTTTCATCGAAGTGCCGGGCGACGATACACTTACCGCAATGGTGCAACTCTTTCTCGATTTCTGTCGCGATATTTGATACTGCGTGGGAATAGAAACAAAGCTTTGTTTTTTGATAAAAGAGAAAAAATATATTAAAGAACAATAAATGAGAGAGAAGAACAAGTAGTGTTACCGGATGAGGTTTATTTTTGCAGTTGCACTATTGTGTTTACCTGATGTTGTTGTACGTTGTTGGTCTTCTTTAAGCGCCGCGAATCGCATAAAAAAAACATCTGGCTGTTTCATGATGTAATTTATTATTCTGTATCTTTTCTGATCAGAACATGGCTGCGAGGCTCCATCGTGCTGGTGTTTCTACTTGGACTAACCTGGACATTCGGGCTCCTCTACTTGAACCAAGAAACCGTCATGATGGCGTACCTCTTCACTATATTGAACAGTCTCCAGGGACTGTTTATCTTTGTGTTCCTTTGCGTACAGAACGAGAAGGTAAGGGAATGCGCCGGGGCGCAGAAGTCCACTTTGATTTAAATCTCGTGCCGGCAGCATCGTGTCCGATGATGTTTGCTCGGAGAGAAAATTACAGACCAAATTTCAAGCGCGAGAAATTGTAATAATCTTTTTGTTATCGCATATTAATCATGATCCGCGCAGTTATCTGCAATTTGATTTCGCATCGATACACTAAAACTCGAATGATTTTATTGTATATTTTGGTGATTGATCAATCTGTAATAGAATGTTACGTATTTTGTTGCCTGGAAAAATTGTAACCTTTATATAATTTTTTTTCTACAGTTTATCTAAAAAGCTGTAAGACACGATCTCTTACAAAATCGTTCTCGTTTTTGTATAAATTTTTATATGAATTTTTAAAATATTTTTGATGAATCTCTTACACAGTAGTTAAGTTTAAACATTGATAACAAATTGATGTTAATTAACGATAGCAAACACGATAATCATGTCAACATGTCGGAATGTTTCGCTCATAAACATCAGAACATGAAAATGAGAAAGTAATGTGTTTAATAAACTCTCAGTGGCAATACAAATTATTGGCGTTTACTTCACGCATTTTCGCCACCCATCAGTACGCTTGTTATGATTAAGTTTTTCAAAATTTGAATTTTTTTCGTTATTATCGCGAAAAGAGCACCGCTGTTATTCTCATTTCTCGTTAAATTGGCACCTAGATGCAAGTATCGAGTTTAAATCGCACTGTATTCACACGAACAGCCGCACAGACGACTTCGCCAATTTTTTTTTTTTTTTAAACAAAATAAACACGTTTTTCGAAATTTGTTTTAACTTAAAAACAATACTGTCCTTGTAGCGAAGTCGTCTTGTAGCTCTAGATCTGTCAAGTCGCCAGATCTGAAGAGACGCACGTGACCGCACGCTGTCTCGCACAGGTCCTTAGTTCTTTCACGCACCGTTAAATTCGTTTTGTTGGGTCGGGCGGGCTCTGTTTTGCTCTTGCAGGTGAGAAACGAGTATCGAAAATTTGTACGCGACCATCCGTGGGTGCCCAAGTGTCTGAGATCCTCGATGACCGCCGCGTTAAACGGTTCGGCCGACGGCAGCGGCGGTACCGGCGGAGCCAACGGCGGCAAGGACTTCGTCCTGCACAACACTTCGTCGAATCCCTCGGCACCAACCACGGACAGTTCCGGAGCGTCGTCGCACTCAGCCAATGTGGGTACCAACGTCGGATCATCGCCGAACAATCACAACAACTTGACCGCCGCCTGTAACAATACGAATCTTTCGATAAACGTGAACCTGAACAATTTGTCGCTGAGGTCGCCGGTCGGGGCACACCAGATGCACATGATGGCACCTAGCAACCACAATAAGCATCCCACCCAGCAAGGTATCCACACGCCGCTTATACACCAAACCGATACGCGGATAACGAAGCGAAAATCGAAGTTCGCTCCACAGGGGCCACAGTAATCGATATTTCTTGTGACAATCGAAATCCCTCACGATCACACGCTTCTGATTGTTTGCAGATGCCGCGATCGTTTAATTAAATTTTTTTAGCGTTGATTCTTGATGATTAATAATTAAACTTTGACAATTGATTTCTTAATTTGTAAAAATTAAAATCAAACTGTCGCGATCAAACTCTGACGTGAAACTACACGGCATTTGCAAGAATTTGTGACGCTTTTCAATTTTCGCGAGAATAATTGGTTACTGTACTTTACCAGTGAAGCAGCCGGAGATTGAAACTGTAGGAGTCCGAAGGGGAACGTGCGTCTTCCTCTCCCCCTCTCACCTGTTTTTTTTTTGTTTTTAAATAATATAGCAATGACGATGCAATACTTGGTTATCAGGAAGTATATAATCACTGTTTTCAGACATACAGATAAAATTCATGCTTGTCAGACAAGCATGTGTAATAAGCTGTGTATGGTCTTTTATAGGATCGGAATGATTCCCAAGTATCGATAAATTGCATTTCTCACTCACACACGTATACACGCACACACACATACATACATACATTCTCTCTCTCTCTCTCTTTCTCTCTCTCCCTCTCCCCCCCTATCTCTGTACATTCTTTTCTCGCTCTGTTCTTTCCAGTAAGATCACAAGTAACACAAGTATGATCCGTCTGTAATTAATTATTATCGCTCACTTTTTGCCTGTCGCTCAGAACTCAAGCCTGCCTTCCTTCAAGCTTGTCCCCTTACAACTGAAAAGTTGCTGCGGCTAGTCATCGTCCCTCCGCGTAAATTACAGTTTCTGTCTATCTCTCTCCGAGTCTCTCTGCGCGTGTAAATAGACCTCGATTCGTCACGCGTCCAGCGTTAAATCTATGGCTATTCGATTCTTAATCTTATGCTTTGAAATGTATTTATTTTAACAATAGAACAAGGAACTTCGCGGTTTTAACGCTCGTAAGCCGACATACTCCTGCAAGTTCTTTTTTTTTTTTTTTTTTTTTTATGTCATTAGCAAGTCACTTCAAAACCCGACTCGCAGAACGGTGAGCTAAAAAGCATTTAACGAAGCATTTACCCGTTTGGCTCTTTCGACCCTGTCGCGTCCAGAGAGTCGAACTGAATTGGCCGACAAAACTAGAGTGAGAAGGAAATAGAGAGAGAGAGAGAGAAAGAGAAAGAGAGAGAGAGAGAGAGAGAAAGAGAGAAAGAGAGAGAGAAAGACAAAGAAACAAAAAGTATTCAGAGAGATTGTTGAATGTGCTGTTGTAGCCTGTAGGAAAATGCCAGCTAGAAGAAAAATTTCAAATTATTTACAAATTACTAAAATAATATAAATCTTACGTAAAGTGCGACTTTTTTCCCGACACAAATATTTTTAAAACTCGTTTTACAATTTTTCAGTATAAAATAATATTTTCTATTGTTTATAATATTTTCTAAATATTATCTTCTATTTGCTACGTGTGTTTTAAATTTAGATTCTTGTGTACTACACAGTTTTACTACACAGTTTATGTGTAGCTATATCGTTTATATTATGTATAATTTATATTATATACGTGTAAAATATTATATACGTATTTGCTTAAAAACGTACGCAAAAAATTCTGTAAACTAGATTATTGTTTAATATATCAAGCGTATCACTTTGCGCTCATTAAAGAAATAAATGAGGCGCTTCTTTTTGATCTCAATTTAATTCGAGCGTCTCGTTAATACGATGACGACCCCGTTATACTTCCAATTAAGGATGTTTCTGAGTATCATCTGGCATTCCTCATTTGAAGTATCAAGTAACAGATAACGACAATCTCTCGAGAATCTTGAACAAAAGCGCCGAGTTATTTCAAGTAACAGCCTGAGTAAATTAAAATGTCGCTCAACAGATCAATTAGTTTTTCCGACAAAAATGTGGAAATAAATTATTACACCGACATTTATAAAAGGAATAAATACAAACGTAATTCTCATTGGATACTAATGCAAAATTTTTTGAACAACCGAATTTTTTAATTTCTTGCACTTTGCACTCTTTTAATTGTTCTTCGAAAAAGAACACGGTTATAAATTTCGATTTAAAGAATTTAAGAAAACAAATTTTCTATTTGTTTTTTTTTTTTCTAATGAGAGAGAGAGAGAGAGAATTTAGGAAACGTCACTTCCAGATTACCAATTCGACAATCGACGTGTCCCCCATTCTGTAAATAACACGAGGAGGGCAGGCAAAAGCACGAACACTCGAATTCGCACTCTCGCGAGCACGCTCGCCCGCAAGACTTCCTACTAACAGTGGTGATTTCCGTGCTTCTTTATCTGGCCTCGGGGTTTGGTGTAACGCGATTGCTGGCTACTTTGTACATACCCTCTTACATACCCGCTACTTTTCTCACTACGAAGTGCGGGTTCCCCCGTGTGAGATTTTTCTCGCCGTTCAATTTCAGATCTTCCGGATCAAATATGTGCGATCAGGTAAAGAGCAGTAAGTCGTGTAATCTCATCGAGAACAAGCGAAATTTTACGCTCGAGAGAAATTGTTAATTACAGCTGTGAAGTCACTCGGTAAGTGGTGAAAGGTTGTGTAAAAGTAGCGAGTCCAATTTTAAAACACAACAAACGAAATTAAAAAACTTTTTATATCGAACAAACAAAAAGTCTGCAAAACAATTATCGTTACAATTATTGTTTTAAAAACCGAATTGTGAAAAGAAATAGAAATATTTGACTTGTCAGTTACTGCTGTTTTTCTTATCGTAGCAAAAATAATTATTGTGAACAACGCGTATGATCGCAGCATCAGTTACATCTGTGCAATTGTGATTTATGACGTGCGTCTCTTATTGCACGACCTACTGTGTCGAGACCCTTTCGTTCATCATTTGATATGTCAGTTGTATTTGATCCGCAAGATTGTAATTAGATTTTATTTGATCGCAGTGCGTCCAAAGGCACAAAGAATTTATATCATGCAGTATTATATTATTAATATTTTTTTATTAATTTGTTTTTATTTCATTTATGTTCGCAATATCTTAGTAATTTATATATGTAGTGCATTCACTTTGGTAATTTATATTGTGTAAATATAATATAAAGATTTTTTTTTTATTTTTGCAATTTAAAAAGTTATCTAAAATATAGAGTGCGTATTATTTTTACAATAAAAAACCATTCTTATTTCCACATTTTGAAATCGACAATATGTGTGTAAAAAACGATTGAGAGGAAAAACTGGAGATTGAAAAAAAAAAAAAAGATTATTAATAACAACACTGATAAAATTTTGATTATAATTGTGGTTATATTGCCGATTTTTTTATATTTTCATTCGCATTTGTTGTGCCAACAACTAGTTGTTCTTCGACAACGAAGGAATTTTAAACACAAACGAACTGCCGTCAACGATGGGGGAAGGTACACGTTTTATAGAAAGATTCGTAACGTATTTGAGCGGATTTAATTAATTCTAGCTACACACGCGAAGGGCGGAGTACGCGAAGCGTTTCTATATGCAAGCACTTACACGTCATTTTGCTCTCTGCACTCTATGGCACTTCCGTATTCCGCCTAACGCTTTTCGTTTAATTAAGTTCTTGTTTTTTCTTCGCGAAAAGGCGATCGATCGGAAACGCTTTCTCGAGGATGTTGTTCTAATGACGAATTACATCTAATCAACGTGCCATTGTTGAACATGAAAATGCGTTTCCTATCGAACTCACGTCACGTGCTGAAGAACGTCATGTTTGAACCCTTCGCATTTGTTTTTATTAAAATACTGGCTTTTTGTTAATTGATACAAAAAAAATTTCTAGTTTGTTGCAAAAATAAATTCGAAAATATCAACTTTGTAAGAATTAAAACAAGATGAAGATTCGCATTTCAAGTGTGTTAAGGGTTAAAAGGCGTTCGAATGCTCACTCAAGCACCCACATGAGCCACTTAACGGAAAAACGAGAGAAAAAAAAAAGAAAGGTACGGGTGAGAAAAATCCGCGCGCATCAATAGCATTACATCTGTCACATTCCCTTGCCGCATCGCACATGCTCATCACCAGAGTCACTTTCGCAATCTCTCTCTTCGTCCATCTATTCGCTGGATGCGTTTCGTTTGATTAACGTCGGACTTCTCGCGCAACGAGATAAAGCGCAGAAACGACTCTCAGATAAAAATAAAAATGAGACAAGTGACTATTTCATCATTAAAAGAATTAAAAAGGATAGAAATCTAAAACAAAAATCACTCGTGTTTTTCAAACAACTTAGAAAAATAATTCAATTTTTTGAAAATCTTTCGATTTTCTGTCTGTCTTGATCTTCATCTCAATCCTTCATAATTTCGTTGTTTTCCATGTATCAAGACGGTTCGAAAGACGGTACGGAAGACGTCCGTACGGCGATATTCCTCGATCCGTGTCAGAACCGCAGGTCGTAGGTTTTGTCTCGGGCCGGAAGTCCGGCTGGTAGCGGTCGCGTGACCCGTCCCTATAGAGTCTCGAAACGGGCGCAATCACGTGTCGTCCTCGCACAACAAATACGCTCGTCCGCCGAGGGAAAGGACAGAGGGAACGAGGGCGCGATGTGTCCCAGCTATCCCATCACAAGTGTGCGTGCCGACGTCGCGTATCTCAGAGCGCTACGTCGTAGATTCGCTTCCCGCGCGGGTTAAATCCGTTCCGCTTCCGGTAGCGGCGCGAGATACCGCTGGGGATGTGTACAGCGTCCCATATCTCCCTCGTATCCGCTCGTGTCGCGCGCGAAATCTACGCGCTTCCCTTCCTCCCCGTGTCCGCGCAATTATGTATCCTAATTGGCGCGCGAGCTCCTCTCTCTTGTCCCGCTGCCTCATCGATCGTGGGGCTTAAGCCTTCCGGTCTTCCCGGCTCAGTGATTTCAATTGGGAGGATGTGCCATGTTTATGGACAAGTAGCCATATCTGTGCAGAACCGTATCTCTCCCTGATGAAGCCAACGCTAAACACCATTAAGAGATATCGTCCGGTTCATAGAATCCTATGACAGGGTAGGATCAAATAGACAACAATATCGATTGTCCACAAGTGTCTAAGGGAATATCAAGTTCCTGTTCTCGATCATTTTCGCATCATAGCTCGCTGACTGGGAAAGCAAACCCTTTGTTTACTGACACTAACTGACGCTCTCATTATATTTCGCGCGCGACCCCCGCGTTTAGATCATCAGAGTATGTATCATCCATTTTCGAAAATGAATAATTATATCCCTAGAAATTACTTCATCCATATATTCACACTCATCACACTGAATCAGCGATACCGACCAGAGGCTGGCTATCGGTAAACGGAAGGGTTAAGGGAGACGATTTGGTGAATTGGTTGCTTTTGCAGTACTTGATGTCCGGTCGAAGCTTGGCGGTAGTCGATAGGCAGCCGGCAATAACGATGCCAGGTGAACTCACCTCCAACGAGGCTCATATCGTGGCTAGTCTACCGCACGCACGTCACGCCTTCTTACCCTCAGCTCCCAATATTCCCCAATCTGCCACTTGGGGCCACCTTAACAAAAATCTCACGTGGAAGGTAAAACTAATTCACACCGTTACGCTCGTTCGCTGTGTTTGTCACCCCTCGGGGTCGGCTCTACTGTCTAGCGAGGTCTTCGCGTGATCGCGTGCGTGTAGATTTTCACTTTTTTCTTGTTTTTTTTTTTATAAAATAAAGCAATAAAATCCGAGTTGCTACAAAGAGTTACAGTTATTTTAATTAAACTCGATATATTTTCGGAAATGTGATACAGTTAAGAGAGTAAATGTTTATATTGTGTTGTTCCGATGTAATATGGTTCTCAACACGCGGAAAGCTTTTAGCGTCGAACCGTGAATATTCGTGAGACGTTGCGGGATCAATGTTCCGTATTCTCGAGCTAATATTATGACTCGCGCACGCGTTTGCAAGGATCCGCTATAAACCGTTGCTTCCGCATTGATGAGAATCTTGCCCAAGTACGATCTTCGCAAGCATCCGACGTTTACAAGAACCAATTGCGGTCTCTGTGTTTGCCAGGATCTTGAATTTGCGAGGATTATACTAATCAAGCATATAGTTCACGCGCTCGAAAATACCTCGACAAAGGCTATCCTCTCCGTATTTGCGAATCTCACACACATCTGGTTGTTTCTCGTGCGGATCTTGCTCATTACGCATCTGCTATTTGCCGCCGCTGCACATGCACCAAATTGCGGGTTCCGCGCGCGTTTTGTAAAGACTCGGTCGAAGTAAAATTTGGTTTCAACAGAGAAAAATTGTTTCGCGCGCGAGATAAATAACGAAACACGGTTTTTTTTTACACCAAGAATTTCGCTAGCTAGAGCCGTCTCCGTTCGTCGTGTGTCTTTTCTGTCGTCTCTTTCTGTCTCTCTCTTTCTCTCTCTCTCTCTCTTTCTCTTTCTCTCTTTTGTTTCTGCATGGTGTGCGATATTATATTTTTCACTCATGCACAGCATCTAGTAACTTCCCTCTTCCCCTCGCATCCTAGGAGCAAGCCTGTTTTGAGCATGGAGATGCGGACACACTTCGTCGGCGTTTGAAAAAAAAGTGAGAGTAATTTTCACATCCGCAACGGATAGCTTGCGCCATAATTCTCCGTCTAATGATAATCGCATAATTTTCTTTTGTCTTTCAAGAATAGACGATGTCAGTTTTTTTTATTCATGTAATTACAGAACAAAATGGAGAAGTTTAATTTTCATTCGAGTAAATTGCGTATACAGTGTGAAAAATAAATTTCAACTCCTCTGCGTCTGCGAATGAGAGAGAGAGAGAGAAAGAAGACTTGTCCGTCATATATTGTACAAAAGTTTTTCGTGGATTGTTCAATAATGAAAAAAAAAAAAAAAAAATGTTCGCCAGAAAAATGTTACATGCGCCGCGATATCTCTCTCTCTCTCTCTCTCTCTTATTCGTACTTTTACTTTTAGCGATGCTCGTTGAATTACCAGGAGTGGCAAAACACTGATGATTGATGAACACGGCTGAGGTAAAAAGAAAATAAAAATAAAAATAAAAATAAAAATAAATAAAAGAAGAAGAGATGGAGATGTTATGGAATAAGCCATGTCGTTCTTCCGGTACCCTCCCGTACCTTCTCTTTTTTTTTTTTTTTTTTCTTATTCCATGCGCGCCTGTCGCGCGAGAACAAATGCGAATACACGGTTGTGACGTTTTATATCATAACACAGTGCTCCATTTATCCTATTGTGAATTGTGTGTAGCTCATCTTGTGTATGTACTATTACGTTTGGTTTATGTTGTATGTTGCGGTCTTGGTTTTTTTTTTTTTTCTTTCTGTTCTCGTAATGAAGGGAGGAGGATGATTAACCCCTCGTGAAGTATGATCCTTGTACGAGCGAGGTATTTTGCCACTCGTCTTTCCTCTTGTGCATGCACGATCGTCAATTGAGCCATTTTCATTTAAAAGTCGCTCGAGTCTGGTATTAAAGTGAGATTGGAGTGAAAACTCTTCCTTAAAGCGCAATATAATGAAATATAACTCGTATGAATTACGTGTTAGCTTAACTCGCAATTATATTAGATGTGTTTGTCATTAACTGCGTGCTTCAATAATTGAATCTTCAACGCTCTCTTTAATACACGACATTGATTGAAACGAGCAGCTCAATTGTGCAAAGTATATTTCTGTGCTGTAATCTTCTGAGTTTCTTACTTTAATTCTTCTTTTCCCCCGTTTCCGTGTCGTTGATCCCATTTTAATTTGAAGTTTTAGTGTGACGTCATTAGTGATGTGTCATCAATTTTGTGTTTGTTTTTTCTTCACGACGTGTAAATCTGTGTTGTGTTTTGCAACACATCACTCAGGTTTCACAGACACCGAAGCTATGATGATCAGATCGCGTTGCATTCGCGGGTAGTTTGGTAACCTCGTTCTCACGATCCGACATCATCAGCGCGCACAAGTCTGTTAAGCCTGGTGTCATATCCCCAAGTCGTCCAAGTTTGTTTTTTTTTTTTTTTTTGTTTCTTTTTACCCATTAAGTCATCGTGATCTAACGCAAATCTCTCATTGACTCTCTCCGCAGAACATTTCTTTTAAGTCCCACTCCCGTGATTCCGGACACGGTTCCGAGCAAGAGGACTCCCCGCGGATGCGCAACACCCTGACTCACGGCCACTCCAGCAGACGACGCGGTGCCCCGAATAACGTCAACGACCTGAACACCGGCGTCAGGATGTCCGGAGGGAGACGCGCGGCGATGCCGTACAATCACACGTATACCGAGATCGCGGACGGTCGTGCTAGCAACGGCAGCAACGGGCGGCAAGTGCACAGTCAACGCCACGGCCAACACGTACGCATGCCACGCGGCTTTGTCAACGAGGACGATCCGGTATACGAGGAGATCGAGCGTAACAGCGGCGTCGTCGGCTCAAACGAGATTCACATGTCGGACATGTCCGACGAGGACGGACGTCGGCAGAGCGACATGAGCAGACAATCGTCCAGAAGCTACGGTGATCACCGACCGCTGATCCAATACTCGTCCACTGCCAACCGCAACCTGCCACATTACGGGCAGACAGTGACAGAACGCGGAAGCAACGGCGGCAACAACTTAGCGCACTACGACTCGGAATACGGACCGACCATGGAGAGGACAATGAACGCCTGCTGGGAGAAACTTCGCCGGCAGCAGGCCGCTAGATACGAGCTCGGTGATTTGCCGCGGCTGCCGGCGGGATACGGCATGCCGCCGCAGCAGGATCATACGCGCACGGTGGCCGTGCTGGACGGGCACACCGTTGTTTGCCACCTGCAGCCACAGACAGGACGCGGTATGCCACCGCCGTCTTACAGCGAGTGTTAAAGTCTCGATCGCGATCAGGATCAGAATCAGGAATCCTTCCACGTCCTCGTGCGCGACGGACGTCCCCTAAGAGACAACGGTCCGCTGGTCGCCGGAACCGACCGATAAAACGTGAACCGATTGGACAGTTCGTTTCGTCCGGGACTACAGGATGTTGGTGGTGATGGGGGTTACGGTGGTGATGGTGATGACAACTCTCTCGTTCCTTCAAGAGGACAGCCTTGCGCCGCCGATCGTCGGAGAGCAAGGAGGAGAACCCACAGAAGAGCTTAGCTCAATCGTAAAACGCGACGGTGATTCTCGATGTAAATTTTGTCGCGCTTTAGCCATAATCGATGTATAATCGCGGGCGTTCTAGTGAACGCCACTCTTATCTCCGTTCAGATGGAATTCGATGGGAAAAACGTCTTCTCGCGACGAGGAGACAAAAGGCAATGAAAAATGGTGCGAGTGAGCGTGAATGTGAAAGAACGAAAATGTGCGAGTGCGCGAGATCGACGGGCGTCCAACTAGGCTATCATGTCGTCCAACGGACGCCCGCGTCTTTTAGGATACAACTATATGTATATTATTGTATGACCAACGCGGATTCTGTGTAACATATTTGTAGCGAACCTCTCGTTTAGGCTAAGTCGACGAACTAATTGCCCGGCAGCTCGGTTCGTCGATTTCAAACCGAGTCCAAAAACCGGCGAAATTGGCGAACTGAGCGCGTGATCGAAAAAAAAAAAAAGAAAAAAAAAAGAAAAAAAACGTGACGAGTAGGAAGCAGCTTTCCCAAGTCTGAAGCGACATGAAGATCGGTTTCAACGATCTCGAAAGAGAGAGAAAGAGAGAGGATTTTACCTTGAGTTTGAGCACAATGATATTTTTGCGGACTTCGTACGAGCGTAATGAACCAAAGTCTTATTATCTTGATGTTAAAGAGCTCGTGGACGATTTTTGCAAAATATTTGTTGTATACAAAAAATGCAGAAACAAAAAAAAATAGACTTTATTATTCCCCTTAGTTTACAAAGGACTTCCATTTGCCTCGAACCTTCCGTACACATTGCGCCTATGAAACTATGTGTTATAACTAACTTACAAACTACCCTTATTTTTACATCAATAAATACTAGAAATATAAAACTTCTTTTGTTATTATTATTCTAAGTATTTCTCGATATTTATTTTACTTTTTGTTTTAAAAATTGTTTTGTGATGCGACGCGTCTTACGATTTTGAGAATATCGAACTGTTCACCTATCTAGGGCAAAACGAAAAACAAAAAACACGCATTTCTGTGGAATCTACTTCAATAAGTATATTCTTATAAGAGAGATCTGTAGTATTACTTTCGTCCCCCACGTATATTTCCCACGCCTACGTTACACGTCCGGGCTTCTCAACCTCATCCAGTAAGTATTGTAGAGAATTTCACACCAGTAAAACAACGCATAACCGGCACATCGTGATCAGACCGAATCCCATCCTCGTGTGCGCTTGGGGGCAGGAAAAAAAATATATTACGCGAGCCGATACTCGACATGTGTCCGCGTTTACAAATACCTTACAAAACGTCGACAACGATGTCCGGGCCAGGAAGACGAGTGGAGAAAGCGTGTTTCGAGCGAGCCTTCATAATGTGATATACATCGATTGAAATTGAGTTGACTCGATATAGCGAACACTTATGTATGTATTTAAACTTATAGCCTTTTGTAAAAATAATTTACTCTTTTAAAATAAATCGATCATCTAAAAATTGCTCAGGTAAAAAAACAAAACAAAACAAAAAAAAACAAAAAAAGACGAACAAAGGCAGACTTGTGTGCGGGTTCATCTTATCTGCCCGAGCTGAACAAAATTTTCACTATCCAGGATGCGAAGCCGTCAAAAAAACTAAAGTATTTTGATTTTCGATTGACATACACACACACACACACACACAAAAACACAAACACACACTTTACTGCCGCATAATTTTAACAATCCTGAGACTGATGGCGTTACGACTAACTAAAGGGCCTAGTGTAGCTTAGGCTGATCGCCCTCAAAACTAAAAAAAAAAAAAACTAAAAAAAAGAAAAGGTAAAATTTAAAATGTAATTTATCTTCCGTTTACGCTGTACACATTTTATACTGTAGTCTCTCTGTTCTTGATTTGAAATAAAATCTGCAGAAAATTTACACACACGTTATACAGAGTGTTTTATTTTAATCTTTCCACGCGCGAGATACTCTTCTTATTAACATTTCTTTTCCACTTTTGTTGATCGTGATAAAGAATAATTATTTTTAAAATCTGTTGCTGCGCGTGAAATTTATATACGCTGAAAAAATATCATACAAAAAAAGTCTGGAATATATTTTGGAAAAGTGGAATACACAAGTGATTGTCAGAAAAACACTTTTATTCTTTAGCGCCGTATTTGTGTAGAACGTTGACGACGTCGCCGTGATTATTCTTTCGCGCCACTATTAGCGGAGTAATTCCGAAAGAAGCTTCGCAATTCACGTCAATCAAGCATTGCTCCAAAATATATTCAACCGCCTCCACGTTGCCGGTCAGCGCGGCAACGTGCAGAATAGTTTGACCGACATTGTCTACGAGACCAACGTTGGCTCCCGAACGAATGATGTATCTTGCTGCATTCAGATTTCCGTGCTTCATCGCCTCGTGGAGCGGCGAAGAACCCGAAGAGTCCTGCGCGTTCAGAAGGTTCGCGTTCGACGTGACGATCAATTTAATTACTTTCTCATGGCCGTGAAATGCTGCGTCACATAATTGGAAGAATGAAACGAATTGTGTGTCACACATTAAAGATCTCGATTTAAAACAATAAAAGTATTCCCTCCTAAATAAGTGAATACAATATAAAAAAATATGTTTCCACATTAGTGATATCGCATTGAATAAAACAGAACATTAAAAAAATTCAATTTTAAAAATGTAATAACAAAGAGAAGTTTTTTCTCTAATAGTAAATTATATCACACATGTTTTTTCAGTGGATAAACTCGCGATTGTCGAAAAAATTGAACGAGACGTCGGAAAAATTAGTTACTGCGACTGTCGACTTGATACGGATTTTTCTTTTTGAGATATAATTATCTTCTTTGAAGTTAATTATATATACAAATGTTAATAGTTACCGGCAATGTGCAACACGCTACGACCATTGTTGCTACGATCATTGATGCACTCCGGTGAATGTCTCAGCAATAAAGCGATTGCGTTCTCGTCACCCGCTCGACAAGCGATGTGCAAAGGTGTCCAGCCGTCTTTATTGCGTAAACGGGCGTTGGCGTTAGCGGCCAAAAGAGCCCCGATGCATTGACAAGCCGCGGAACCGCTTTTCGTGCATGCGAGCATCAGAGGCGTCCAGTCGCCGCGCTTCAACGCGTCCACCGATGCACCTTCATGAATTATACAAAGACACGTCAAGCAAATCTATACTTTTAGAATTAACAAACACTGCAGTTTATTTTATATGACAAATAAAAATTGTAAAGTACACGTTTGAAAAAAAAAAAACACCTTTTTCCAATAAGTAGTTCAAAACGTCTTCCCGCGCAAACTGCGCAGCTTCGTGCAAAGGTCTCTTCATGTCTTTATTGGCGACGTCAACTTTAAATCTTGGCATGTCGAAACGTTCGCACAAATATCTCACCACATTCAAATCTCCTACGCGCGCAGCCACGTGCAACGCGGTGTCGCCAGATGCCGCGTGTCGAAGGTCGCTCCAATCGCGAATTCCGTACCTCGCGACGAGAGTTTCCACTCTGCGTAGGTCTCCGTTTTGGCAAGCGCGCAAGAAGTCGCGCGATAAGTTGGGAACCTCGGCGATCGCAACATCATTTAACATATTTTCTTCAAAAAATCGATTGTTCCAATTAAATGTGTAAAAAGACGAGCGTTTTAAAGTTCGCGTAAATCAAAAATTACATGTTAACAAACGCGATTCGACAAAGAGACCGACAAACGCGCGTAGACGACCGGGCGCCACGAACTTACTAGACAACTAGACGTTCGTCATCACTTCGGTGTATTTCATTCGTAAGAGACGCGATTTTCATTTTATCGACGATCGATTGTGTCGGATCTCCGCGAAAAACTTATCATCTCGGTAATATGTTATATATTCGTAATAATGTTTATAAAAAGCGTAATAAAATAAAACACAATTACAAAAAATATATTAGATTTTACGTATGTGTGTCTTATTAAAAACATAAAAAAAAAAACATAAACGTTCTCACAGAAACAAATATATGAGTGTCACAGATTATAGTCACGTGGTAGTCCCAGGCTTGACACAAGCGGGATCCATGTATGTGATGTTCTCGGGAAAATGATCCATTATGATAAACTTTTTCTCGGTCGATTTGTTCAGACTTTCCAGAAATCCGTACCAATAAATCACCAATCCAGATCCGAATCTGTTCCAATAGCTCAGAAATTGTTCCTTCATGTATTTTTGATGAACTTCCAAGTTACCGAATCGCGCTTTAGATTCGATCCAATTTATTATACAGCCATTCACCGCGATTGGCACTTCCAACTTAACATCCGGAGTCTTGTCATATCCTCTTAATCGTAAATGTTCTTCAGTACGAAACGCAATGTTTCTTTGTACTAAACATTCTTGCAGTTTGATCTCATATTCTTGTCCTATGCACCTGAAGAAAGGAACAACTTTTTAATTTTATACAGGGATTTTGATTTACAAAGATGTTGAAAAAAACACTTGTAATACCTTACAGTCCTATCGATTAACTGTAAAAAGTTATCGTGCGTGTTTCTACAAATACTTACATTCCCATTGCATCAGCTATAGGTCCGTAAAGATCATCGTACAATACACACTGCAAGAAAACATATTGCTATTAGGTTTTTAAAGTGTTTAACTCGAGAATATATTTTAATTGGGTTTTTTTTGTATAACTCTCTCTCTCTCTCTCTCTCTCTCTCTCTCTTTGCTAGAGATTGTATTATAAAATATATTTCACATATAATTTATAAATAATATGTATAAATTTGAATTACCAAATAAATTTCATATGCAAGATCTTTGTCCTCAATCAGTGTGGTGTCTTTGAACAACTTTGTAATTACGTTCTTTGAAACTGAAATAATTTTATTCCTTTTAGAGCTCTTAAAAATATATCTATATCAATTATTTTATCTCCCATTCTAACCTTTGATTATTAAGTGCTAACTATACCATTTGCATTGTCACGCATGCAGTATTTTTCCAGAACGTTACGTGCTAATAAAGCTGGCGCAGCATCAACATCTTTTGCCATTCTTAATAAAACACCAGTTGGCTCTCTATTTTGCACCGCATCTAAATAGCTGCAATGTTTCACATAAAACATAATTTTACCGCACTTTCTGTGGTAAACTAAAGATAAATTACAATTAAAACAGAAACGACATTTTGTTTTTCTCTATCTATAAAATATCATGTATCTATATTTTTAAAAGATCTTACTATAAATCCAATTTACCTGTCATAATAACTTTTGTTGCTTCCAAATAGTTTTGCATGGTTCATTTTCATTCTCTGTTGCATTTCTAAAGACAAAATGCTGTACAATGTGTTTGGATGAATGCTGCAAATAAGATTTTATTGTTTTATGTTATTGTATATATATACGTACTTGTATATAAGTACGTATACACGAAGAAAATATATCAGTCATTTTGTTTTACTTATAAATTAAATTTAATAATCAAAATGTATTTAAAGTTTTTGCTACACAGTATCTTACACAAATTTGTCTGAAAATACACTAATAAAACAAAACTCTTACTCGTTGTATTTTTCTTTTAGCATTTTGGCGCAATCTTTTGACAATCCTCGAAAATTGCGTATTGTTGTTACTATTTCATTATACACTTCGGTCTTCATCGTTTACACCAATTATTGGCAAAAATACACTTTTAACGGTAAAACTCTAGGTTATAAGCGTCTTTTAACGTGTCTCTCTACTGTTATTAGTATAGATGTTGGTTGCTTTAACAGATGGCTACATACACACACAACGCACACATAGCTAAACCGAGTTAAATTCTTCCAGCTCAGCTAAATAGGTTAGGTTAGGGTTATAAATCTCCAACACAGCTGCTGTAAGGGTGGATTCGCACATCGGCCGTCTCAAGCGAAAGACGTCTTTGGACGATCTAGTGGCTGTTAGCGGAGTAGATTTGTGTGTTACAGGTAAATCAGATAAATATGCCTGCAATAGTGATCGAACCACCTCAACGAAATGAGCAAATGTGGCAAGCGTTAAAGGTTCATATTATGAGAGAACGTCAACGAAAGAAACAAGGTAAATTCTCCGATTGTCTTTGCTTAGCACTTTGACAATTATAAATATTGTATAATAATTTTTTTTTTTTTTTATACGTAGAACAAGAAGCAGATGCTGAAGAAGAGCGTTTGCGCAAGGAAAGAGAACGTCAACAAAAACAAGATGTGATGACATTAGGCGAAACGCGAGAACAAATCTCAAACTTGGAAAATGAACTTGCTCAATTGAAAGAGGAGAAGCACCAGTTGTTTTTACAATTGAAAAAGGTTCTGAATGAAGATGACAGAAGACAAAAACTTATAAAAGAAACCAGGTTTGCAATCGTAATTATTTAAAAAGAAAAAGTAAGTATCAAGAATCATGAAGTTTATGTAACAAATTCTTCTTCCAGTGTTTGTTCGGAAGTCCTGACAACAGTTGGAGGATATCCTGCAACAGGTCCAAGACTGGTACTTCCTCAATTGTTTTCACCATTACCACGAAGCAACAGTCCTCTCTACAAGGTAGCAGTAGGTGCGCCAACTCACTTGTTACCTGGTGTAAGTACAACTTTTTTTATGTACTGTAGTATAGCATAATATATGGTGTAATAGTTTGCAGATAAAATAAAGTGTTTTGATTTTTTCTGTTTCAGGGAACTTTGAAGAGAGCCCACAGTCCTTCTCCACCACCACCAGCATCTCCATACCACAGTGCCTACGGATATAAACCACCGCCAACTATTTCAAGTATTTCAAATTATAATCCCCCACCTCCTAGTAAGTGTATACACGCAGCTACTTCATGTAACATAAATCAAAATCTAAATGACGACGCGATTATTTGGAACAAATTGTCGTTACAATTTTGTTATACTGCTTAACCCAGCACTGAACATTTTCTACTGCCTATTAGTAAAAAATTACTCTGTCATGTGAGAATCCCATTGTTTTTTCGTTCTAATAAGTTTTGTGTGTAAAGAAAAATAACTTCGATAATCAGTTCATTTTTCTTTTCCTGGCAACGAGTGGGTTAAGCATTGATTATGTTAAACACTGTGTTATTATTTACTTATATAGAATCTGAGGAAGCCACTAGAAGATCTAATGATTCTCGAGCAGTTCTCTGGAATAGTAAGTGAATAAAGTTTTGTATAATTTTGCTCTTCTCACAAAAAAAAATTATGAGTTTTTATGCTTTTCTTTCTATTATTAAATGTATCATTTATTTGACGTGTTCTTCTTTATTCGACAGAAAGTAGTCAATACTCTGCATCGAATTTTTATTCAACGCCAACAGGCCAGAGTGTTTACAATTATTCTGCACCTGTATCGCAACCTTCTCGAGAATCCTCGGAGCCAGCTAAACCAGTCTATCTTTCAGGTGGTAGAGTCCCGTTACCGCCACATCAAACTGGTATAAATGTCACATTATCTTAAAATTAATAGCTTAAAGAATGTGTTTCACATTTTTGTGTTGTGTTGTTTTGAGATTTGTATATTATTTATCAATATTCTATTTATTCTATTGCATATAGTATTTCTTTCTGCAACAATCTTAGTTTACTGAAAAAAAAAAAAAAAAAACAAACGAAATTTACGGCGATAATTTTTCTATCTTTTTTCTATTTCTTTTTCTTTTTTTCATATAACCACAGACGCGTGCATATACTGTAAATCTAACACACTAAATTGTCGAAACTATACATTTTGGTAGGAGCTCAAGTTATATGAAGCAAAACCAAAAAATCGTGGCATAATTGGCATCGCGGAACATTGGTAACAAAATCTTAACAAGTACTTTTTGAGAGAATAAGTGAAAAAAAAAAGAGAAAAATTAAAACAAAAATTGCAATGAGATTTTACAACAATTTTGACCTTTAATCATAAAAATTGTTTTGCAGCGTATGTCTCTAATTTACACTCGATAGAACACAAAAGCACTTATGGTGAGGACAAATTTTACCTACGGCCAACGAATCACGTGACCGTGCACGGTGGAGCTATTCCGATTCAACAACCACCTCAGGTTATAAATCAAATATCATTATTATTTGTCTGTGTAATATCCGCGTGACGTTTCCTCCAGTGTTGTATGTATTGCTTTTGTTTTGTTACATATATTAACACAGGGAGCGAAAACAGGTGGAATTACTTCGGGCTATCCAGTGCGAGCACCTCAACCGCCTGGACCGTATCCACCACCACCGCCACCGTCTCCTGGTACTTACGTCAGCGGCTCGGGTGCCAATGTACCCGGCAGACTATTGTATACACAACCTGGAGCTCGCTATCTTCAACGAGAAATATAGAGACCCGCGTGTTCATTCAAGGCTACATCTTGATCATATGGCTCTGTAACGCGTTCTGTGTGCGAGAGCAATAGTGCTTTATGATGTTAGAAGCGAGAAACGATCTATTCTCATAGTCCGATCTTATGTTCAAAATTGTCTTAATCTTACCTCAAGATGATATGCGAACAGTTTCATTACAGAGAATCTAAAAATGAACGTAAACCGATCTTAAATATAAGATCCAACTATGAATATCGGCCAACTTATAGCTTCATTTTTTGGTCTTTCTTTTTTCACAAAAATATAATATTTTTGTAATCTTGACACTTTTAAGACTATACAGCAAACTTCAATATTTGTCTAAAATGTAGATATTAAAAAATTACCTTTTAACATAATAAATAATAAAAAAAAAGGCAGAATACTATTGTTTTAACGTTTTCAATATTACTAATCTCGTGTTTTCTAGCGTAGTGAGAGCACTACGCTACACGACGCTGCTTGGCAAACATTTTTTCTTTTCTACTTGACTTTTAGCGGAACGCTCGAAATTCCAAATATAAAAATCTTCGTTTGTTGTAATGTTTTATATTTTAATCTTTATAGTCCAGAAAGCCACTATAGTTTTCATAGTTTCTTCACTCAAAAACTGTAAAGGTTATTTCAAAAAAATGTTAATAAATAAACAAAGAAGAGAACAGAGGACGAAAAAGAAAGAGAATATCGTACATATATTGTGTAGGTATTTATGTAATTATGCATTTATGTGAACACATCTTTAACACACATTTATTTAAAAAGATATCAAAAACCACTTAACATAACGAAATAAAAATAAAATCAATCTTTTTAATCCGCAAGCAAACTCAGTTTTCATTAATTAAACACGTAAAAAAATAAAAATTTGCGCAAAAAGTCAACAGCGATTTCAAGTTTGCTTACTGTCAGAAGATTAAAATGCAACATGTAAATTTCTATCTTCCTGTACTTATAATAATAAAAAAGAGAGATAATTAATTGAACATTAAGTAATATAATTGTACACATGTGTAACACTTATATAAATGTTTTGGTTGTATTAATGTTTTAATATAATGTAATACACACACACACACACTGAATTTCATACACACTTTCTAGATCGAGAGTTGATTAGACTTTTTATCATTCATTTTATTTATGGATATTTGTTACATTGCAAATATCTATTATACAGAAATGAGGCAATAACTAAACAAAATCTAGTGTGAGATAATAGTCGAATCTTATATTTATTATTGTCATGTGTATGCATATATGTAATCTATATACATATGTACATATTACACATGAAAAAAACAACTACGATTATCTCACCATAGATCTAATAAGATGCGTATAAAAATGTTGTGTGTATGGTGTGGTGCGTATAAACCATATGTTGTATTATTATAATTTCACTTTTAAGTAAATCACTCAAACAAAATATTATAAATGTTATGTTAAACTAAACTCAATTTTTGTAATAAAAATATACGTAAAAAATATTAACAAGTACTGAAAATAAATCAATAATTCTTGTTTATTTTACCATTTTGATGCATGATTATATCTTATTGCATTCCCAATTGTGACAACAGGCTCTTTAGATCCTGTCCACATTCGGTTGTATCGATCTCTTGTTGTTTTGCTTTATGTTGTTGCGAACACAAATGTGATCTAAGATTGAGAATGCCAATCACTTCCTTTTTACAGAGTTTGCAATAAACAGGCTCGATACTTGTCTCAGATGGATCTCTGCAGACAGAACATAAGATATTAATGGCTATCATTAATAAATTAATTAAATGCGTTATTAGTACATTCATAATATATAATTGATTGGTAATCGATACAAAAGGCATTAATTTACTCAATACATGTAAATCAGACACATTGTAATTTGAATTCAAAATGTTCTTAAAAAATGACATAATGGTTTTATTTTACTGCGTGCATATTTAAATGTTTGTCACAAACATACGTACTTGTAAGCTAACATTTCTAATTGGCACAAATGTTTAATTATTTCCTCAAGAGGTTTCTTTATTTCATTCAATTCCAACGCCTTGTGCAAGCCATATATTTGACTTTTTTTCAATGTGTCTCGTGCGGTCTTGAGAAATAGACTTCTGTCATATCGATTCCATTTGTTGAAGTGGGAAATTAGAAGTGGTTCTTGAGGATCGCGTTGTTGATATATTATTTCCTTAAACGCAATTTTAATACGCTCTTGACATTCTAAAGTCAATTTATTTTGTGCGTTTTCGTCCACGTCTTCATCATCAGGATCAAAGCACATCGCAACATTCATCCAGTGACGTAATTTGTTTATCTACAAATTTTGTACCTCACACATTGTATCTCAGAGATAAGCTATGTATATATTACCATTTCATATATATATATATCGATTTAAGCAATGCATATCAAAACAAAAAAATAAAATAGCGCGACAGATTAGTAATAAATATCGGACGTAACGTACCCTTCGCAAATCCTCTATCGTAATCTTACAGTCGAATAAAACTCGTAAGTCGTGCTCTGGAAATAAGCTTCTTCCTTTTGAATCATATCCCAGTCCGCACAAAGCACCCGTGTAATAAGTGCCTAGAGGATCACGTCTCAACTCGATATACGGTGTGAACATTAAATTAATTAAAGCTTCAAGACCGGGTATATCAGGCAAAAGAGTTGTGTTTCGTAGAGTCAAATTTTTAGTGTGAGGATTTCGAACGACAGTTTGCGCCACCAGAAAAATTCCTTTCGAATTTTTCGGACAAGTATCCAGTGTAATAGAATTTACCGACAATGGATCTATGTATGTGAGAGTGAGTGATTCGCTGTTCACCATAGGAGACAAGCAAACTTCCAACGGCGAAAACGGGCCATTTAGCGTCACTTTAGATGTATATATCAATGTTTCTGGTAAATCCGGATATGGCTTCTGTGCATGTTGACTGTGCGAGTATGTTCGCGAACATTTGGAATCGAAGTACAGTTCTTTACTTCTTTCTTCAAGCTCGAGTTTCTTAAATTGATCGCTAGCTTCTTCTTCACTTAACAACTTTATTACAATCGGAATCCGATATCGTCGTAGCTTGATACAATTTTGAACGAAAGAATAATTGGCCGCTGTACGATTTTCATTTTCATATTCGACATAAATACGACTTGTTCCATCAAAAAATACTTTTATGTTGTCTTGATTGAGCTTTAGATTCGATGCAAAGATCTGCTGAATTTGTTTGGCATACAACAATCCGGGCTGTCGTAACGGCCATCCACTTAGAATAACAGTGTTCGTTGGATCATGATAGGACAACAGTTTCATTTTCTTCTTCTTCTGATCTTCGTTCGTAGATTTGACGAAATAGTTAGGATAAAAAGCACCGGCAATTATAACTTTAAAAACAAAGTATTCGTTTATGGAATATTGTTTCCACTTGTTCCGTTTGGGATCAACTTGAGGTTCTTTGATACCGATGTGGCGTAATTTTTCCGTTACTTCAGTTATGAGAGCGTCAGCCTCGCGTAGCGATCGTATACGAAGATGATTTTTCTTCGTCCATTCCTTCTCACTGCGCAAATCTGTTATATTATTGTTCATTTTATGATGTCGCCATACATTATAAGCATTATAATATGCCATAAAGTCGCAATCAGATCCAGCAGCCCATTGTAGTTTTTCGTTGTGAACTGATTTTATATCTTCCACATTGATGCTGAATATCTCTTTAACGCTTGAACAAACTGCCATTATAATTGCATCCGTCAGAACATCAAACAGATGACCCAGAACAATTAACTTCGTCTTGTAAATATTCAACGGAAGAGAAGCCATTACACGACCCAAAGTCGTCAGCTCTCCGTCGAAATCGTTCGAATTGTCTTCTGTATGGAGCAACGCACCGGCTTCCTTTAATGTTAATATAGTTTTTTGTAAGTCACTTAGATCCGGTGGGTCCAAGGAAACACCGAGAATGGCTCTCGGTTCACCCATATTCAGTACTTTTGCTTTGAGAACTACATTCTCAAGCGGAGCTCTGAGTATTTCTGGAACAGTTTCCGTGGGCAACGAATTCTAAAAAAAAAAAAAAAAAGCAGTTTCAGAACTTCAGTATATATTTTATAAATAAATTGTGATTATATATTTTATAATTGTCATTTCTCTTCTGTGCGAAAAATGACAACTGAATGAGAGAAATGTTTTAAGAGCAATATAGAAATACTACTTGCATCATAAAACGATCTTGTAATCATTCTATACACTCTACCCTCCATTACGCGACCTACGCGACCGGCTCGTTGTTGACAATTTGCCTTGCTCGCCCAGTTAAGCTGTAGACCTTCGTAATTTGAAGCATATTCAGTAACAAGAAGTTTTGTCAGACAAAAATCAATAACTGAAAACCAGAAGAAAACCAATAAATTAAGTGATTTTATTTGATACATTTCAATAAAGATAGGAAATCTCTTTTTCTCTTTTTTTCTCTCTCTCTCTCTGACACTAAACATCACTTTTAGTTTTGCCAACGACATACCGTATTTAATATTGGGCACAGTAATGCTGCTTTCAGCAACGTTAGTCGATAATATAATACGTCGAAAATCTTTTGGTGGCTGCTTGAATATTTTCTCTTGATCTTCAGTCGAGATCATGGAATGTAAAATCATTATTTCCCATTTTGCTTCCTCGTATTTGTCCAATAAAAGCATTGAACGGAATTCCATGATTTCGTGATATCCTGGTAAAAATACCAGCACAGCTGCTCTTTCAGAAAAACTGTTGTCAGCTTTGTCGAGACGATCAAAAATGTGCAAAATGCGTATAGAAAACTCTGCTACATTTTCCGAGAATCTTGGTTCCTCAGGCACTTCAGGTACCTATTCAAAAGAGAATACATATTTTTTTGTGTATTAAAAATCAAAACATAATTTTTCAAAACAGCTTTTTTTCAATCACAAAAAGAGAGAAGAGAAAAAAAGTAAATCATTTGTTAGTAATGTATTATCTGTTATGTCATCTAAACAATATTTACATAACACTTAGTGTAAGAATAGAACGTGAGATCTCTGATTCAAAATTATCAAGTGTTATTAATATAAGATATTTTCTTTTCTCTCTTTCTAAATCTTTACAAACAAAGAGATATTACATAGTCACATGTTCTCACATATATTCAAAAAAAATGTTTGCATGAAAAATGTATATTTACATTTCCTAGATTATGCATCTCATCGATATAATATACAGAAACATTATAATGCCTTTCTTTTGGTACATCGATGATAGGAGCTGACAAAAGCGCATCTCCCATAGGAATGGAAAAATAATCAGCAAACTTATACACATCGATCGTTGCAGACATCAGTATAACTTTAACATTGGGAGAATTTAACCGTAATAACTTTTTCACAACTAGCATTAAGAAATCCATGTTCTCATCACGTTCGTGCACCTCATCCAATATGACATGAGTATAATCTAGCATGTGCTTCTTGTTTATCAATTTATGCAGAAGTACACCAGTTGTACAATATGTTATACGAGTGTCTTGGCTTATATTTTTGACCAATCCCATTTGGTATCCCACAATTGTACCAACACTCCATCCTCTCTCCTCACAGACCCTTTTGGCAATGCTTATAGCAGCAATACGTCTCGGCGATGTAACTGTAAGATAGAAACATTCTTTCACTATTACATTAACAAACTGTTTTAAAAGATAGAAATATTTTAAAAAATAGAACATTAGTCGACTACTTGGAAGATAATCTATTCAAACATATACCTATGATGTTACAGTGTTCGTTCTTCTCAAATTTATCATTAAGAATAATTTGCGGTACTTGTGTTGTCTTTCCACAGCCTGTAGTACCAGAGACAATAATAACAGAATTGCTCTCGAGCATGGACAAGAGCTTATCCTTAACATAAAAAATTGGCAATTCTATTTGAGGCCGATAAGAAAAGTTATACGTTCGATAAATGCGACCAGTCTCTTGCACGCTGTTGCAAGCTCCACTTGTCATAGTGACTTCCGACATGTTATCTATGTGAAGATCCTTCATTCGTTGTCTCCATAGAATATCAGATTTTAACTATAACAAATTCAATATAAACAGAAAAGTTATTTAAATGTAATTCAATGTAATTTACACACAGATTTGATGCATAAATTAGCTTTTAAAACTGAGGGTTAACTATATCATGGTTCTGGAACAAAGTTTCTACCAAAAATGGAATACATATAAATCTGCTAAATAATTTCTTGCTAATAAAATTAAAAACAAAAAACCTAAATAATAAATTTCTCATAACATACATTTAAAAATCAATTTACACGCACAGATATATATAAAAAGCGTTGCGTTACCTTTAAATAATCCTCATCTTCTTTTTGTTTATATTCCTTTGCATAATCCGTGCCCTTTCTTATTTTTCTGTCATGAGGATTAAACTCTTCCCCTAATTGATATTCATCGCCCGCTGTTTGTCTTTGACTTGCAGGACGGGACATTTCTATCTTGAAAGGATTAGTCGTATTAAACATATTAAGAATACTATTTAACAGAGTTTCATCCATTGTGATCGAAGTTAATCGATGTGTGTTGTAACTTGCAACTCGATAATTCGTAAAATACAGATCAACAGAGATCTGTCGTGTACCGGCAAAATACAACACTACGATACTCAAGTTCCTGATATATCGAGGCGCGAACAAACTTGTTCCTCTTCACAATAATTTCTGTACGATCAAAATTAGAATTTTGAAATCATTAAATCACAACAATAGAACGCATCTCTTCTGTTTTTTGTTCTCGAACGAAATAAATTCCGGCCAAACGTCCGCTCTCTCAAAAACGTGTTCTCTCAACTAGTCTGATTCGTATTGCTGCGCCATTTCACAAGTAGATAAATGGCTGCGTTTGACCTGTTCTACAATACAGTCGTAAGCTGTAAGTCGTAAGAAATTGACCAATCGCAATCAATTATTCTTCTGTGATTTGTCTGTAATTGGTCGATTTCTTACGACTGTATTGTAGAACAGGCCTTCGGGAAGCGCACTATCAGCGAATTTTTTCACTTCTAGATAAGTTTTCGATAACTTTATCTAGAAGATATCCCCCAAAATTGGTTCTCCTTATTGGTTCTCAGAGGAATTTATCCAGAGGATAGCTATCGAAAGGTATGAAGAAATCGGCCGAGAATGATGCAATAGCGCAGATAGCGCGCTCCACGAACGCAGCCAAATAGATTGCGGTCAGCGTAAAGGGTCGTCTACAATAGAGAGTTGTAGGCCGTAATAGTAAGAAATTGACCAATCACAGGCAAAGTACAGAAGAATAGTCGATTGTGATTTGTCAATTTCTTACTGTTACAGTCTAAAACTCTCCATTGTAGACGGCTCTTAAGTTAGTCCATATGCCATTCTACGTCTCAAAGATTATCTCTGGTTTGAACCTTCGACTATAAATGAGCACAAGTCGGCAAAACTTCTCAAATTGACCAATCACATTCAGCGGCTCGTGAAAATGCAACCTGATGGTTGCAGATTGACCAATCAGATCGAAGCAGCTTAATCATTGGTCAATCTGCAATCGTCAGACATTTCTCTGAGGTTGTTTCGATAAATCTAGCAATACGATTGGTCGATTTGTCAAATAACGTCATTATTCAATTTCTGTGCTTGTAACACGAGCTTAAACGGACTTGAGTTGCGTGAGGATTTGTAACTTGTGTCAATTTGTGTGTATATTTCAAGATGTTTCGCGTTTAGGTTACATTGTTTAAGTTGTTGCAAGTTGTTGATTTCGCTTTGAATTATATTAAATCATGTGCATTAAAGTGCGCACAAACCAGACAACGTAAAAAATGGAAGTAACTTGCTTGAGTAAGTACATTAGTAGTCTGATATACAAAAATTTTTTAAATTTTTAACTTCAACTCGTCCATCATCTGTTCCATATTAATCAAGATATTTATGAATTGCTTTTTTTATTTTTACTTTTTTTTTTTTTTTTAATTTTTAAGTAAAATTTTTAAGTATAATTTCTGTAGATTTTCAGGACGTATTATCTGAACTAGATAACGTCTTACCGAAAGCCACTTTTCTTAGTATCGATGGTGAATTTACTGGACTTAATTCGGGTCCGGACGCTGGTCCGTTTGACACACCAGCTCAGTATTATAGCAAACTTCGAGCTGGATCTATGGACTTTCTTCTTGTGCAGTTTGGTTTGTCCGTCTTCACACATGACTCAGAAACAAACAAGTACTATATTTTGTTGATTAAATAAACTTAAAAATTAAAGCAGCTCTAGATTTAAAATCAAAAGAATACAGATACTAACACAGATAAAATGCAGATACAAATAAAAACTGACTGCTCATTAATTATTCTTACAATCAATGGTGACTGTTTGCTCTATTAAGATATCTGTATTCTTTGGTGATTCACTTCTAATGTACTACTATGAGTAGTACCTTAAATAAACATAATGAATTAAATAAACAATATTTGATAAAGTAAAAACCTATATCACTTCTTTTGTTTTAGATATTCTCAACAATCTTACAATTTTTATGTGTTTCCCAAACCGATGAATCGTGTTGCACCAGATTGTAGATTTATGTGTCAAGCTTCAAGCATAGCTTTTCTATCAAATCAAGACTTTGATTTTAACAAACTCTTCAAATATGGTATACCATATCTCAACGCTGGTGATGAAGAAAAACTTGTCACACGCTTAGAAGAGAGACAAAAAATCAGAGAAGAAAACAATCAGGAAATAATTCCAATATCAGATAATGACAAGCCTCAAGTAGAAGAAATATGGTAAATATTTTTTAAAATATTTATTTTGTTAATTTTATGATTAAGTTAAATTAAAATTAAACATAGGTCTGGTTTGGTTTTTTTGTGGCTAGAGGCTATTCAGAGCCAGCCTGTACACCAAACATATGTTTATTAGTAGTATTGTTGAAATTTCAGTTCTACAATAGAGAATTTTCTTGCATCAGATGCAAAAGAATTAATAATACAAAGATGTAATGCCTTTATGAGAAGACTGGTGTATCAAGAAGCAAGAATAAGGTGGCCTAATAAAATAAGACTTGAAAACAAAATAGAAAATACTTGGAACTGTATTTTGGTACAAAGAGCCGGCACTGAGGAAGAAGAAAAAGAAAAGGACAGTCAAAAACGAGAAAAGGAAAAATTAGAAATTGCAGAAGCTGTGGGACTCAGCAATCTTTTGAAAAAAATTGCGGATTCCGTAAGTATACATACGCATATCTATTTGTTCCTTTTCCTTTTCTCTGTCATCCTTTCTGTCATTACAAAATTTTTATTTAATTAACTGTTTTTATAATAGTAAACCAGATTAAAGTAGATAAGATTATATGGTTTTATTTTGAATAGTATTATCTTTTATGTTTCAAGTTTATTTTATTTTTATTTCAGGGAAAGATATTAGTAGGACATAATATGCTGTTAGATCTGTGTCACATTGTACATCAATTTTTTACGCCATTACCAAAAGAATATCTAGAATTCAAAACGTTGATTCATAATTTATTTCCTAGGTGAGTTATATATTAATTTTTTTCCCTAAATGAACTTAGTGAACTTTAACCTGGTTTGTTAAGTATTTTATTAATTTTTTTCCTTTAAGGTTATTGGACACAAAGGTCATCTGTCAATCTCAGCAATTTAGGGATCTGGTTTCGTCATCGAATCTTAATGTATTATTAGACATTGTCAGCAAATCTCCGTTTTCCATCCCTGACGTGATACCTGTGGAAGGACGCAGTTATTCGATATCAACAGAAAAATCACACGAAGCTGGATACGATGCATACATCACTGGATTATGCTTTATTGCGTTGTCCAATTATCTCGGTTAGTGTGGCAACATTAAATATAAATACTAAAACTTAGATAATATCTCTTTTGTTGATATCGTTACTCACATATGTGTATATGCGAGTCAGTATATATGTTTATATATGTTATAGATTGTTGTGTTTGTTTCAGGAACATTAGAGAGATCGGAAAACTCCACAGTATTGGCAACCTCTCCACTGCTTAATCCTTTTCACAACAAGTGAGTATGTTACGTGCTATGTATAAATAATACTTCAGATTTCTTTGTATATGAAAAGAAAGAAATTGTATAAAAATTTCAATAATTTTTATCGATTCATTTATTTAACGTAATTTTTTCTTAATACAGAGTTCCTATAGCAAGACTGAAGGATTTTCCGTACGTGAATTTAGTGGGAAAAGATCGTAAGTATATTTGTCATAAAAAAACATGATATTATTACAACATCGATATTGATATTTGTTGTAAAAGAAGGGATACTTTACGCCGCACAGTAATGAAATTAAGTAAGTTCGATGTTTTATTTATTGTTTTTTTTTTTTTTTTTTTATTTATAGCAAATCCCAGCAGAGATCACGTATTTCACATAACATTTCCAAAGGAATGGAAACACTCGGATATAAGTCAGCTGTTTAGTCCATTTGGTGAGTATTACATACAGATTACATACATATAGTTGGTTTATATTTTTAGAAAGAAAGTAACATGTAACGCGATTTGTTCTTTTTTTTTTTTTTATACAGGAGGTGGATATATCTCTTGGTTGTCGGATACATCCGCTTACGTGGGTTTATATCGTCGCGATCAAGCTGGCGCTGCATTGAGAAGTCTGTCCAAAGAGACCGTTTACAAGATACAACCGTATTTGAAGTACCAAGCCTCTTTGCAGAATGAATTTTCTCATCAGGACCGCAAACGGAAGTTGTCATCATCCGAGTGAGTTATTGGCATTTTATAAATTTCGATGCAATGTTCCATACAATCGGTTGTGCGAACCGTTTTATTTTATTTTATTTTTTTTTTTAATCTAGTTTTGCGTATACAATTTTCTAAAAATCACCAAATCGACGACGAGTACGCGCTGCGTTGCGATCTTTACACAGCTCATACACACGTTTTTGTCAAAAAGTAATAACGTTTATGGCAATTTATTTTCCGTCCCGAACTATTACGTTCGCACGAGATATGTTAAACGCGAGAGTGAAACGCGTTTATAAGTCAGGTATGATTTCAAAACGAAATGGGGAGAAAGAGGGTAAAGGATAAGGCCCTAAGGCGGCCTCATAGGATTTCCTGTACACGAGAGATTTGCATAGGGCTTGTTCTGAATTAATGCACGCGACGCTTGCTACGGGCTTATCTTGTTGTCTTCTTGCTCTTTTCCTTCTCTCGTACCTCTTCCAATTCCTCTCGTCCTACCTATATCTCTTTTTGCTTCCTGGTCCGGTTCGTGAAGTAACGTCGTCGTTGTCGTCGTCGTCGTCGCACGAGAGTGACCGGTGTCTTCTACGTACAGAAATTGTGTTCACAATGACACGCGGAAGAGGATACGCGTAATTCGAATTGTTTGAAAAAATTCCTGTGTTTGATGCGGTTTTCAACTTCTGAATTCTTGAGTCTTTTCTAGCACTTCAAAAATCATTAAAAATAAATTTACGTAAAAACTTGTGTGTTCTCGTAAGAAAATTCGAAAAAAAATACGATATGTTTAGATTGAGATATTAAAATAAAACACAAAACAGAAAATGAAGATAAATGTCGACGAGAGACAGAATGGATTCGCGTGCGTGTTGGATGCGAAAGACAGAGAAAGAGAGAGAGAGAAAGAAAGAAAGACTGCTCGCAGTTATGTATTATTGGCATTATCGTACATTATGCCCGAAGAATTTACTCGGTGCGCGTGTCGGAGCTGTTGCTGCGAGGCTCGCGACTTATGAATATGCAGCATCACGTGCACTCGTGTGCAATGCACGTGTGCGCGTACTCGTTAAACATCGGAATCGATCGGGGTAAGGAACCAGTAAAATTCTCTTCTCGTGAATGAGAGATTCTCGGAATCCTTTTACACGCATGATCGTCCACGTATAAATTAACTCTCTCTCTCTCTCTCTCTCTCTCTCTCTCGTCGTGAAAATAGATTTATCTCGTTCTCATTTGTATACATAGGAACGCGAATAAAAAGGATAACGAGGAATCGGCTGCTAACGGCAAAGAAACAACCAAAGATGACGACGGATGGATAGTGGCCACAGGTAGGTTATTACCGATGCACTTTTTTTTTTTTTTTTTTTTTTTTTTATATTTTGCACTTTACATCGACAAGCCGATTTGTGTCTCGTGCAGGTAAACGGCGCAAAAAGCGCAAGGATCAAACTGCGAGCGGTTCGTCCAACAAAAAGGCTTGGCCGGAAAATGACAATTGGAATTAATTGCAATTTGATGCAATTTGATCAGCATAATATTTAGTCAGCATAATTTATAGTCGAAGAGCGAGAAAATGTATACAACAAATGTGTATGTAAGAGTGAAAAGTGTCAATATTATCAAATGGCGAATCAAAAAACTTTTATCTCGACTTTAATCTGACTAATTAGATGATAATTCATCTATGTAATGTCTTCACTCGTTCGTAATCTTAAAAATAAAATTCTTTATTTCTGCTACATACCGAACGCATTACATGATAAAATTCCTTCTATACTTATATGTATATATACAGTATACTCTACATATATAATCATCGTAATTCTACTGTCAATTAAAAAACTTTTATCTTGACGGGTTTTCAATTGAACGGGTCGATTGCGTCATTTAAGACAGAGTTTTTGATCGAGATGTTACATTGCTGAAACTTAGCAAAGACAGTAGTAGTAAAGTATCCGTGAAACAAAATACTATTATGTATGTATAAGTTTTATATATATATATATACGCAGTGGTTATAAATTTATAAATAATTCTGTACATTTGTTAAATACATTTTGCGTACCTCTAAAAATTTCCTTCACACCAACTTAAACTAAAGGCGCCTTTCCATGCGTCAAAATAGATCGTGTAATCCAATATTGGCGCTAGATCACGCGCTGAGAATAAGAAAAAAAAAAAATAAAAATAAAAAAACGAAAAGAATAACGTGTCGCAATTTTGAACATCGAAAGGCGCTAGAAGTTGATCCAACTTAGTTCCTTCTTTGACGTTGGCGTCACGTGACGCTCAGCGCTGTTTTCCGACGTCTCATGAATTCGATACCCTAATAGACGATTTCCATAAATACACAACAAACCTCGCGCGAAGAATTGTCGAAGGTGTCAGGTACTCTCTCAGGTGTTAGATAAATAAAAACACGCGTATATGTTGTTGACACGCGGACAATATTGTGATTTTTTTTTTCGCTTCCGCGTATGAGTGTCGATCGAACTCGTCCTTTACGTGCTTCAAATTTTCGTCGAACTGTTGCAACGGGAGTGCGCAAAACTTGATGCTTAACGACCACAGGTGTCCCGCTGAAGGATGAACAGACTCGTGCAGGATCTCGAGGACCAAGTGCCGAGCGATACCCCATTGCGCGGGTATCAACCGCGATTTCGCAGAAACGAGGTGCTCGACAGTGACACGAACTCGGTGAGTTCACACCCATGATCTCTTCCGGATCGATCGTTGCGTTGCGTTGGACTCCTTTGGGATTTCCAAGGGCATTGCGTTCATTTCTTATCGAGGCACATGCCGCATAGAAACCCCAAAGCTGCCTCAACAAAATTGTCTCTTCTTCGCGTGATTAATTACTTGGAATATGCTGTGCGTATTATATAAATGATTCTTCAGTCGTGTTAGTTAATGAAAAATAACGAAAATCGTAAATTCTATTTTGAAACAGCTGCGAGAAAAATATGTTTTAAAAAGACGATTGTTGGGAAAATTGTCGCGCGAATTTTGAAGACGATTTTATTCGCGCGCACAAGTGAATATTTTTATTTTCGACTATTCGTTTATATATCTCTCGTTGAGTTGATTATGTACCGCGTGACTAAACACACGCGCAATAAAAGGACGAGATGCACAAATCGATTGTAAAATATTTAATTAAAATAATATTCACATAAAAGAAATAATAATATAAATATCAATTAATTAAGGATTGCAAAGTTGATATCATGCATTTGTGGTTCTTTTGTACATACGTTATATAATAATATTACACAGTCAAGAAAACAAATTGTATTTCAAACATTATGTATTGTCTTGCACATATGGGAGAATTGTGCAAATTAACACACACACACACGCACACACATGACATGACAATAACATCAATCAACGGACTACAACGACAAAATATAAAGAAACATACATTTATTGCAGTGTTAAAACTTATTGTATATATATGTATATATGTACAAATTACCGTTGCGTGTCTCAGAAACAAATGATTAAACAATTAATCAGATATTCCACGTCCTTTCTCTGTTCTGATCGATGAGACATCACGCTCATACCAAGATAAAGTCCAAAGATAACTTGGGACTTAGCAGGCCAGTAGGAATCGAACGCAGCCACCACAGGACCACTAAGGCCCAAATCATCCCTAGATATATTTTTCACATCCGTCCGTGTGTGTTGGCACAATTCGTCCTGGCATCTGAAAAAATATTTCAAAAATAATTACTCGTATATTTCATTACTCCAGAAAACGTCTTCAGGGATTGTGTTGTATACGGGCCACAGTTTTTTGTGCAATTTTAATTTCGGAGATAGATGGACAAAGTTATTTATTACAGAGTGAGAAAAACCCTTTTGTGATGAACAGCAATAATAAATGTGGTTTAAAAACGCTGAAGAACAGACATGCAAAATTATATAAAAAACAATTGAAACAAATAAGCTAAGACTAACAAAAGATAAAAAGCACGCGTACAAATAATATAAATACAATTAACGTATAATACATTAAGTAATTAATATTAAGTAATTAATGACCAAAAAGAGAGAGAGATCTCAAGTAATTAAATATGAAAAATATGTTTTTAAACGCTCGTAAATAAATATCCAATTTAATTAACATATTTGCGTGTGAAATAAATTTTGGAAGAACGTGCGTTCTCGGGCGCGGTTTTTTTTTTTTTTTAACCCGGTATTCGCGGATTTTCTTATTTTTCGCGAAGAGATGGAGGAGGCGAAGCATTTATCTTGTTGCGTTTCAAATATGTCGGAAGCGTTTAAGCTATCCGTCGGGCGAGACTGTTCATTTCATTCATTACAGCAAGTACCAGAAACACTCTAGTCATCCTCCTCATCCTCGGCGATTTTATGCACGACACGAGATAACGGGTGTGTCGGAAATGATGTCGGGAAAATGAGATAAAACGTGGAACGGGATGCACGCGAGATACTCGCGATCGCGTTTTTCGTTTGATAACGAACGAAGCGTTCAGTTCCACTCGATTCAGTTCCGATGCGTAAAAAGTAAATCGACGCGCGCGTTGACATTCGACGATAAAGCGACCGACGTGGTTCACTTTAATCGATTTGCAAAACTGCTTTTATCACGGCTTCGCGTTTCCCGTTTATTTTACGTTCTCCGCGATACGAGCGCGTGCAATTCGTTCTCTTTTTTTGTTTTTTTTTGTTTTCCTCCGAAAAACAGACACGCACGTTATGAACAATTACTCAGGCCATCTCTTCCAGTTAAATTACTTCGGTACACTCGATATCTCAATCATTAAAATTCAAGTAAACTTTACTCATTTTCGCTATTTCGTCACGGTCTGAATTTATCATTCCGGCGAGAAAAATGTCACTTACTACTCGTTGTGTTTATCGGTTATTGCACAAAAACGCCGGGCAATGAATTGATTGCTCAATTTTTTTACACACACTGTATAAACTTTACTAGAATGTTTTTTACTTAGGCAATAGCGTATTATTGGAAAAAAATTGCGATGTAACACTCGTCATAAATTATTGTTTCTTTCGTAAGAAGAATGCACGTGCGTAAAAGTGCAATTCCAATATTGAATATCTCAAACGTGTGATGCAAATGACACAAAATTTTTAACCGCAAATCTAAACCATCACAAGGAATATACCAATATAATTACCGATTTTGATGCAATTAGCTTATCGAGAGTTCGGTAAATCCTCAACTCAGGATCTAGGTTTGTGCAATGCGCAATTAAATTGGGAAATTAGCAAGTTCTCTCGGAACGAGAACGTGAACGTGAAAAAACTGGCGTGGGAAAAAGTCGTCGCGTGTGTCGATTACCGATGGATAGCGACGAGTGACTCGAGCGGGCGCTACTCGCGCCAATTTCCAATCTTATTCTCACGACGAAACGTTGCTCGAGGACACGCGAATAATCCTGGAAACACTGATCCGGGATTTTTTCATTATTACGTGACGCGTCACAGGCTTCTGCTGTACATACATCGTGTGTTCTTGAGACGCGAGAGCGCGATGACCGAGAGAGAAGAGTACAGGTCACTCATATAATCCCGCACCTAAGCTAGTTTCGCGCGCGCGGAGTCTCTCATCCCTCGCTTTTTCGAATTTCCGATAATATTCAAGCGAGGACTATAAGCACGAGAGCGCGCGCGCGCGCGCGCGTGCGAGCGTGCGAGGGGCGGGCGGGTGTCCCGTGGGACGCGCCCACGGCATTCGATGAATCGAACGGCGTGAATGAGAGCGTCGCGAATCATCCGCGCGTGCCGCCGCGTCGCTGACGCGACCTTTGGCCTTGTTCAATGTCGTGTCTGCACTCACACTCACCCTCTTCCTCTCCTCTGGCTGCGCCGTGCGAGAGCACGTGCACGTGCGATGCATCGACGTGCTCTCCTGCGTCTTGTACGCAGGTGCGAGAGACGTATACGCGCGTATTATCCGGTCCTCTCATTCGCGTCGTTGCCACGACGCTCCGGTGCCGCTCACCGACGTTCCTCGGCGTCCACTCCGGGTTTTCGACGTCGCGACGAAAGAAGAAAAGAAACGAGAGAGGGAGAGAAAGAACAAAAAGAGAAAACGCCGACGAGGAGAAAGAACGCGCACAACGAGGCGCGGTTCCTTTGCGCGGACGGACGCACACCACTGAGGGCGAAACTCTCGGACTTTTTCGACAACGCCGTCGCCGTCGCCGCCACCGCCACCGCCGCCGCCGCGCCGGCCACGCAACATTTTTGCGCCACACGCCACACCGGCGTGCGTGCGGCATGCGGTGCGTGCGTGCGTGCGTACTGTTCGTACCTCTTTTTTCGGCCTCTCCCCCGATGATGGAGGGAGAGAGCGGAAAATCGATCGAGCTGACGACCCTTCTTCTTTTATATGAGGCTCGTGAGCAGAAAAGCGGTCCGGACCACACCCTACGACCTATCGTGAACGCTTTGCCGATCGACCGACCAGTCAGCTTCGTCTTTCCCGGACCTAAGGGTGGACCCTTCGCCCTTTGTGAATCCACGCTGCACGGGTTGGACGGGGGTTGAGAATCGGAGAGGAGGCACGCGGGTTACCCCACGCGCACAGACGCGCGCGCGCGCGCGCTCGCACGCACGCACACACACGCACACACAGACGGTAAAAGAAAGACGAGGACGAGCCGGAGATTAACCCTTCCTCGCACGTGATCTTTCCTTCTAATCCGGAGATATCGTGTTTACCTCGTGCTGATGAAAGTATCTCCGCGTATGAACGCGATCAAGCGCAAAAACTGATTCCGGATCGAACACAATTTTTTTTTTTCCCCGTTAAAGGAAAAAAAGTGCACAGTCATATTGTAACACGATTGACACGCGCGCTCTCTTTGTCAGAGAGCTCTTTGTTGGGGGTTTTTTTTCTCCTTTGAGTTTTGCCGCGTAGGTAGGTACAAATCTGCGGGTTTTAAAGCACTGGATTTTCGCGCGAACGGGCCCCGCGATTTCCATTTCATTTCATTTCATTCCATTAGCCGAGGTTCGTTTCGCCGATCCGGCTTTTTATACTCGCGCGCTCGTGCGATTTATTTTGCTCGGCATTGCCTCGTATTTGGCGGGATATCGTTGCGGACTGAAAACAATGGCCGCTTATACACGCGGCCAAGCGATCGTTAAGCGCCGTGTGCTTGCACACGGTGTGGTATATCGCATATTATCTGGCGTGCCATAGAGAGCAGGGCGAGTACGCGGGCGAGTCGACGAATTATCATGGTAATCACAAAACAGTAGCCGCCGGTACCGAGAGGTCAAGACCGATGCCACGGAGATTGCCGCTCAGGAAAGTACCCCGGAGGTGGACACTTATTCTATGTAGCGGCTCAGTGGTATTCTCGCGCTCTCTCTCCTCGAACTTTTTGTCTCTCTTCTGCGTAACTAATAACTAATTTTCAATCCACCTCACAAACTCGGTTTCTCCGCGTGATATAATAACTGCGCCGAGATAAAAATTTAACTCTGAACCGTGTCGTTTTTTTTTTTTTTTTTTTTGGCATCCTAAAAGTGAACCGTGAATATTGATGCATTTTATTTGATTTTAAAATCTGGAAAGTGTTGGTATAAAAATTCCGACCATGTCTTCCTCCAAGTCCGTCCGCTAATGTGTGTCCTGTGTGTTTTACGTGACGAAAAAATATTAATATTTATTTTCAATGATTTTTGAAGAG